ACTGAAGATTGAGATTAGAATCTGCCCAATCTGGATTTAAATTTTTTTTTTTTTTTTTTAAATTTTGGGCAGGGATTTTGCAGCTAAATGAAAGAAAAAAATGTATTAAATGATATTTTAAAATAAATTCAGATATTTTATATTTATTAGCAGCATGCATAAGCAAAAAAAAAAAAAAAAAAAAAAAAAAAAAAAAAGTGCATAAAATTTCATGATGGTATGTCATGATACTGCTAGAGTTAGTTTCAAGAGTATGCTACAGAAAAGTGCTTGAAATTAGTACTATTAATATAAAATATAAATTTAGAAGGAAGAAGCCACATTAAATGATACGAATATCATTAAAAAAGTTAATTACTTAAAAAGTGAATTACAATAATAAATTATATTTTGGCAAATATAGTTACATTAAATAGTTAACCTAGCTGATTGATTACTATTTGTTTTATGTTACTGGAAAAAGACAAATAAGGCATTTCTTAAAAAAAAAAAAAAAAGAGGAGGTTTAAAAGAATTTGTGGTAAAATCCTAGTATATGGTCCAGCCTAGGCACGATTTAAAAAATTATCGCCAACACCAAACTGTCCCATTTACTGCTACTGCTCATCATAAACATCCGGTTTACTTAAAGAGATAAGAATCGTACTTCCTACCTCCATGGGTTTACTGTTTATCATAATGTCACCAAATCCTGTGTCTACCATATACAGTGCAAAGTCTTTAATCCGGACTTGTCGTGACTTCGGTGATTGCGGATTGGGGGTAAGATGGCATGTAGAAATTATAAAATTAAAAATATGATCCCTAATTTATGAAATAAAGAGCAATTATGATCTAAAGGGTATCAAATTTTACAAAAAAAAAAAAAAAAAAAAAAAAGCTTAATATTTATTTGTTTACGTTTAGTAAAATTAGTTTACTTTCAGTGTAAGTTGTTTAAGTTGCTTCATTTTTCGTGCTAATACTTTCTCTTTAATTCTATAAACAGACATAATTTCTTGTTCAGTTACAAAGTTCCGCTGTTCGAGTCCTGTAACTGCTGTGCCGAGAATACAGACTAACATGTCAATCGAAATTTTTTTGTTTTCATTAACCTCTCTGCAACTTTCTTCACACCTTTATCCATTTTTTGCAGCAATTCCACTTTTTGTTTGATGGACATCGAAACATGCTTTTGCTTTGTAGATCCTTTGGCAGCTCCAGAATCAGAAACTCTTTTTAACATAATCGAAAGTTCAAGCTTCCTTTTCATAAAATTGCTCTAACAGTCTGCAAAAAATAATAAGCCCGATCCAATTAGAAGATTAAGGAACAACGCAATCTGCAACATTAACTGAAATAGATAATTAGATAATTTTAGCCTAGCTTACACCGTCTGTTATACATTAAACGCGCATGCGTAAACGTATTATGCACATGCATAAAGATATTACGCACATGTGCATGTGTAAATGCTACGCATGCGCAGAAAGTTTATAGCTTTGTGGTCGGTTATAGATCATGCCGGATTATGGACGTCCGGATTAAAGACTTTGTACTGTACTAGGATTAAACTGATTTTGTTTACACCAGAATGTGAAGGTATTTTCTTTTGTTCAACATGTACTGTGCATGCGCATGCAAGTCTTTCATTTCTCAAGGCTAGTGGAAACCAAAGTTGCCAGAAACTGTCTCTGTTTTTTAAAAGTCAATCTGATTGGAGCCGTGAAAATTGGCTCTATGCCAACTGGCCGAATGATGCTCACGTGATACATAATTTGCCAAGAAAGCGATCGCTCCCAATACTGGTGCAAAAATTGTCATTTTTGGAATCGCTCTATGAAATTCCTTGACTTTTCCAGATTTTGACTAAAATATTAAAATTCCTCGACTTTCCCCCAATTTTTTGGTCAGGTTTCGAAATCCCTGACTTTTCCTACTTTTTCAGGTAGTGTGGCAACCCTGATTAATGTACCTCCCAAGTAAAGCTCAGGATCTGGATGCAGATATTTCCTCTGACAAAAGTGAACACATATGGTCTTCTGGTCAGAAAATTTGAACCTATTACATCCTGTCAACTTAGTAATTTTATTTAGAGCTATTCGCAGTTGTCTCCAACAAAATGCTAAGGCAGCTAATAAGTAAGTCGTCAACAAAAAACTTTGCATGAAAAGTACAAGGAAGTTCTTTAACAACAGAATTAATTCTTAAACTGAAAAGTGTCACACTGAGTACACAGCCTTGGGGAACACCCTCTTCTTGAACAAACACATCTGACAAGCAAATAACCAATTCCAACTTGAAAATGTTTTGCAATGAATTGGCAACTGTCCATGTAAATCGAATTCATACAGGTCTCGGAAGATAGCACACTTCCATGCTTTGTCAAAAGCTTTTTCCATATAAAAAAAGATGGATACCAAGTGGTTCCTCTTAACAAAGGCAGTATGAACTGCTGTTTCCAGAAACAGGAGGTTATCTGCTGTAGACCTACCTTTTCAGAATCTGCTTTGATATGGCAACAAATGGTGATTTCTTTCAAGGTAATGGACTAGGCTGCAGTTTATAATTTTTTCGAGAATTTTATTCAAACAGGTAATCAATGCAACAGGGCAGACAGGGTGGTGGGTGTCTATTAGATCTTAAGTACACACAATATTTTGGCAGAAACCATGAAATTTCCATTATATGAGGGTCGCCATCATAATAATTATTTTGACAATGCTGTTTGTTAGATAGACAGAGAAACATGTTTTAGAATGTCCAATCTCTCTTCAATTTCCACAACCTCTGAATCAGCACTATCACTATACATACTTGCAAGTAAGCTATTGCTCGGACTCCTATTTTTAGTTTCGGATGCATTCTTTGTTGTGTCCTTGTATCTATTTGCTTGGTCCTGCAAATTTAGTTTGGTTTCTTTTTGATAAGATCTTGAAGTGTCTCTAGAGTATTTAGATTTTGTTACTTGTACTGGTGTGTATGTGATTATGGCAAAGTCTCGAGGGCTATCTGTTACTTGTACTGGAAGTGCTTATTGAGGTTTTATTATTGTATTTGGAACAGTTTTGGCACAAGATATATTTCCCAATGGTTACATGTCAATCACTATTCTTGTTATTTTAATTGTCTGGACTTCCTCCTCATTTTCCCATTTTTGGCACTGTCTAGCATATGCTGCAAATTCACTCTTGCAGTTGACACAAGAGGTACAGTGCAGCAATTTTGACTTTCATGGGCAATGACTGAGCACTGAATGCAGGTAATACTGTCACGGCATGATGTTTTTAGAATGCCCAAGCCACTGGAAATGAAACAATATTTTCTTTTATTTTTGAGGATGGTTTAACGTTTGCATACCGAAATTTGATGAAACTACACCTAAATGAATACAAACTAAAAATAAAACAAAATAGTAGTTTGTTTATATAACATCTGTTTCAACATTTTTACGAACATAATGTATTTCTTCTAACTTTATTGCACCAATTTATGTATACATATAACAAAATACATGTCACTTACAATCACCTCTAACCCTTTCTAGGTTGGCATTGCATCTCACATATTTCGGAGTTTTTGCGCCTGTAAGGTTACATGTCATAGGACAAAGTGAAAAAATCCACCGTTAAAATTGAATTTGTCGCTACTCAGACGTTGCTTTAAATTCCGCAATTATTTTCGTATTTCTGAATATTGCTAAGAGACAGGGCACCTAGTCCTAGTTTTATCACAATTTTCGTAGTGAGATTTCCCGCCTTGAATAGCTGTTAGAATTTCAACTAAAACACCATTCAAGATATTTTTTATATTCATAGCTATTTTTTTTTGACAAAGTTAGAAATAATTTTTTTCGATTAAATAAATGATTTTTGTTTTGTGATAAGTGTGGTTTTTATGCTCTGATGTTCAAGGCAGGTTGTAAAGCTGTTTTAACGGTAAAGCTGGAAACCCATTTTTAAGGCAGTTTTTACATAATTTTAATAATTATTTTTATGTAGATATTTATATTAAACACATCAAAACAATAGATTTAATAAATAAAATATCACACTGTATTTTTTAAAATTTAAAACATTGGTGCATTGCAGGGAAAACTGGTGATCAGTGGACGGGATATCGCATATTTGACCACCCCTAAGTCTACCAAAAGCTGCTCACTGACAAAGATATTCTGTATTTTCAAATTTAGGACTGAACATATATTAATTTTCAACAATAAAAAAATGCTTTTTATGTGGTCAGAAATTTTGGGGGGGGGGGGAACCCAACCCTCTGACAAGGGGTCAGAGGGACCATGCACAACTGAAAAGTCTTTGCTGCATAAGGTATAATGAAAATTATTGAACACAATATTTGACACTTTAACGCATGGTATTTCCAAGGAACACAACACTTAAATAACTACTATAAATGCTATTGGCCATACCTTTAAAGCCAGCCAATTTAAAACATCAAGCCTCATGCCACAGTCATTTCATAAATCACTGGATTACTTCAGAGAGAAGAAATAGTTTTGTTTCATGTAACACTTTCCTTGCTAACATAATATGTTAAAATTCTTGCTTTTTCTTTTAAACGGAAGTTCTCCTCTAAAGTCTATAGGAAATTTACAGTAGTTAGATCCTATGATTTCTTTCCAACGCATTTGAGGAAAGTATTCAATTGTTAAGGTATTCCTGTATTCACAATTTCTATTTTTCTATATTTATTATACTTAGTTTCCTCCATTTACTTAAATACTAGTTTCTTAGAAATAATTTGCATCAAAGATTAACTGTTAAAGTGCTGGATTAACTGTTAAACTGAACTGAAAGGCAGCAGAGAATTGTTACTTTTTAACAATCTTAAGCCCATTTTATTTAAAAGTTAGAGGCAAAGTTAATATATAACTTTACTACTACACTATAAGTCTGTAATTACATTTACAGACATCTTACTTACATTGTCCCATTGTCCCACTACTAAAAAAAAAAAAAAAAAAAAAAAAAAAAAAAAAACTGTATATTTAAAGTACTTACTTTACTCAAGCTTGGGCTCATTTCAGACACTAGGTACTTAAGAACTTTGTCAGAGTAAGAGGATGCAAATTTAGAAAGTTCTTGTACTGGACTATCATCTTCATCATCTTGAATAAGTGTTGTTACATCCTTCCAAGTGAAATTACTCTCAGGATTCAGTTCATCAACAACTCTATCTATAATATTTTAACAAATCAAGTTGGATTAAACTACAGACATAAACAGACAGATGACATCACAGTTATGTTAAAAAAAAAGTAAATTTAATCTTTTCAGAAAAAAATGCACTTTGCATAAACTATATTTTGACCACACTCTCTAATGACATCATTCCAACTGACTTATTTCACTTCGTTTAGAATAAAATGGCATTTGATGTTTATAACTTTTTTAAATGTTCTCATATCCAATAATTTTATTGAACATTTTTATTTAATTTAGTCATAATTAACTTACTTTTTTAGTTAATGATTCACTAATACTGTTTGCACAAGACAATTTTACCATGATTGCATTTAATAAATTATTACAATATTTAAGCATTTGTAATATTACTTGGCATAGTAAATGATTAAAAAATTAAAATTACTGTTAGTAATACACAAGAAATGCTTACTACAACTTTACTTAGGGCAACATTATAGCAATAAAAACAATGTAAATACCACCAACAAATACAGATGAATTTTTTTTTTTACTATTTATAACAACAAATGCTAAAGATATACATGAACTCACTGTTGCCAGGAAAATACTGAATGCAGTGGTATATGTAATGGCTGCTTTTACCTTCTGACTGGTATGGGGTTTCGCTAAAAACCCAAATTTCACAAAACTACTATGAGAAAAAGGAATTTCTTGATTTTTATGTCAAAAACCTGAAATGTTATACCTGGATTTATGCACTTTTAATAAACTGAATTAATTTCTTGAATATACTTCAAGATGCACATACAGATACCTACTTAAACTCCACTCCCACCCATAGGAAAAAAAAAAAAAAAAAAAAAAAAAAAACAAAACAACAACAACAACACTAAACCATGTGTCTATACAAAGCGTGTCTACATACCTGACATGCCTTGCTTATTAACTTGTCGATCATATATTCGCTTTTCCAAACTGTTGTCTGTAACTAATCTGTAAATATGGCACTGTTTCTTTTGCCCATAGCGATAAATACGACAAACAGCCTAGGGAAATAAATAATTGTGATTTAATAAGTAATGTTTGAAGAAATACAAGAAGGCGAAATAGTCATTTGTAACTATTGATAACACATGCACTGAAGTGACAAAAGTCATGGGATAGCAATATGCAAATATACAGATGGCAGTATCGTGCAGGAAATGTAGAAATGTGAAGTGCTTTGACAGGGCTTTGATTTGTGTTCAAGTTATTCATGTGAAGAGGCTTTGACGTGATTATGGCTGCACGATGAGAATTAACAGACTTTGAATGCGGAATGGTAGTTCGAGCTACACGCATGGGACATTCCATTTCGGATATCGTTGGGGAATTCAAAATTCCGAGATCCACAGTGTGCCGAGAGTATCTAATTTCAGGGATAACATCCCACCATGGACAGCGCAGTGGCCTACCACCTGCACTTAACGACCAGCGACGTCGGTGTAAAGTTGTCAATGTTCACAGACAAGCAACACTGCGTCAAATAACCGAAGAAATCAATGTGGGACGTACGAGGGACGTGTCTGATAGGACAGTGCGGCGAAATTTGTCTTCCTTGGGCTATGCCAGCAGAAGACCCACTTGAGTGCCTTTACTGACAGCATGACATCGCCTGCAGCAACTCTCGTGGGCTCGTGAGCATATCAGTTGGTCCCTAAATGAATGGAAAATCGTGGCTTGGTCAGATGAGTCACGATTTCAGTTGGTAACAGCTGATGGTAGGGTTCGAGTGTGGCACAGACCCCACAAACCCAAGTTGTCAACAAGGCACTGTTCAAGCTAGTGGTGGTTCCATAATGGTCTGGGCTGTTTTTACATGGCATGGACTCGGTCCTCTGGTGCAACTGAACCGATCATTGACCGGAAATGGATACCTTCAGCTACTTGGAGATAACTTACAGCCATTCATGGACTTCACGTACAAAAACAACGATGGGATTTTTATGGATGACAATGCGTCATGTCACCGGGCCACAGTTGTTCGCGATTGCTTGGAAGAACATTCTGGACACCTAGATCGCCCAACATGAATCCCATCGAACATTCATGGGACATCATTGAGAGGTCAGTTCGTGCCCAAAACCCTGCACCGTCAACACTTCACAATTATGGACGTCTATAGAGGCAGCATGGCTCCTGCAGAGGACTTAAAACGACTTGTTGAGTCCATGCCACGTTGAGTTGCTGCACTTCGCCGGGCAAAAGGAGGACCGACAAAATATTAGGAGGTATCCCATGACTTTTGTCACTTGAGTGTATTTCACTGCACAGTGACCAAGTGCACAATGACAAATTAACAGCTGAACAATCAAAATCAGTAAATGCTAATTTTTTTCCATCACAGTCTCGTTCCTTGATTCTGAATTAAATTCTAAAAGATATCACAAAAAGTATCGGTTTTATTCATTTCTACCATTTAAACAGCGCGCTTACCAACTTCTAACATAATTAACATGCTACAGTTCTCCACTCAATCTAAAAACTATTCATAAGATAGAAAGGCACAAGTATCTATACGATTGATTTTTACAATGGGAAGATTTTTCAAATTACTCATACCAAAAGACTGAGAAAGAAAAAAGATCTGTATAAGAATATTCTTATGACACTTACATACTATAACAATGTTAAAACAGGACTTTGTTTTCTGGCAGTGAATACTGAAGATGAACTGGTGAATTTTAAATTTAAGTTTTTGACACCTGTTAATATGTATTCTAAAAAAGAGGGGGCAAAGTTAATCTGCAGCATGACATTTTTTAAACTTGACTGGAAAGTTTTTAAATGCATTTAATATAATATATTTAATATCTTATGCTTGTAAAGTAGTAAAAAATGATGAAAATAAGGATTTCTATTAGTTTAGGCATTTTAAAAAAATGCTCAAAATGCTGCCTTATAAACTGTCCATGGCCAGATCAGTGGGAACAGGAGGTACTGTATTTCACTTTATGCTGTTATTCACACAGCAATTACATAGTATAACAGCTGCAACTTACACATTCCGCATCAAATTCCACTCCCTAGTTTTCGACTAAGCTAGTAGTAGAAAGCATACTGCTCTCAAATATTATGAGCATAAATAGTTATACATTTGATCTTAGTGGGGACAATAACCACAAAATTCTTACATAGGGTTGTCTCACATCTCATTGTGATCCAGGAAAAGTTGATTATTAGTTAGAAAAGTTGATTATTAGTATTAGTCAACTGATACTAGTGAAAACATTTATTCTAATGACACTAATCTTCACTTATATTCCATACCATACAGCATCTTTTCTACTTAGTCCCTAGGAAGTCATTATACTGCAAGTTGACTAAAGAGCAAATTCTATAGTATATTTATTTCTGTCTCATTTGCTTAAGAAGCTAAAACTTCAATCACAAAAATCATGTAAGTGTACTACTACAGGCGTACATTCAGTCAATCCCTTGCTTACCATGCGGTTCCTGCTTTCCAAGGTTGTATAACTCGAACTGATATACTGGTCAGCAACCAAAAGATCTATATAATTCCCTTCGGAGCTGATCTCTCCAATGTACAGACTTTAATCATTCATGACTCCTGGTTCAGAGGATTTCTATAAAATGTGGCATATGGTCTCTGCCTCAGTTTAAGACCAGAATAAAAACACAGTATGCAAATGATATTCTCTGAGTTGTTTTAAATAACCATTGATCCTACAGATCTCGTAATCAAAAGTCAGGCAGCTTGCATTGCTGACAGATGCAATAATAATTTCTGTGTAACTTAAGGTTATTATTACTGCTGAAATGTCAAATTTTCTTTGCTAGTAAAAATTTAAATGCCTTTCCCCAAGAAATCTCAGGTCCTGGGTTTGAATAATCAGCTACTACAGTGCTGATAAGAATGGCTTCCGACTGCTCTCAGAAGGGTGACTTTATTAACTAGGTTTGATGTAATAAACTTGAAATAAATATAAGCTATAGAAAAAAGGGTCAATATCTTAATCCAAGAATACTGAAATGATTTCAAAAAAATGCAATCATTTTCACATAATAAGTAAGAACTCTTATTTTAAAATTAACACACATTTGTTATAACAACCACATACAGCATGAGGGACAGGCAGTGCTATGGAAGGAATGTTAGATACTGAGAGATTGAGTTTTCATGTTGTAAACGTAAAATAATGCAAATTTCAAAGAGGATTAATACAATTTAAATGATGAAGAACAAAAGAAAAACTGGAAAGTTTTATGTGTCATTCTGGCTGGTGGGGGCATAAAGGCAACAGAAAAACTTTAGGTTTATCTCACTTTGCTAGGGTTTTGTTTATGTACTTGCAATACATAAATGAGAACTACCTGATAGAATTTCACAAAACCGCCTAGTAAGCAGGAAAGGGGAAATTGCCAAGAAATGAGGTTTTTCTTTTCTTCTTCATGGTTGTGTTGAAAGCAATAACTTTCAGAGTACTGTTTCTCTTTTAGAACAAAATGCTTTCTTTCCAACAACTGAAATTTCTATGCTTGTTAGACAAAGGAAGAAAGAATGTCACACATATTTTAATTTCTTCTAACAGTTAAGTGCGAGTTAAATATCTTTGGGTTCGCATCTCAAACATCTACACTGATCAAAAGATTGTGCACATGTAAAGCATGAACAAATAATTTCAACTGATCGCTGAAAGTCACATTACTATGGGTGAAACTCTTCCTCATTGTTGATAACTCTTCATACTGGCCAAGCTAGCTGATTTGGAAACTACACATGATGTGACTTGGGTAGCTTCATGCCTTCCTAGGGGGTACCTGGTCCCACTTTGAAGTTGGTAAGATCAGAATTTAACCCAAGCACATTATTATGAGTTTTATTCCTTTTATATATTTATATAAGTTGCAAAGCAGGTTGCCTGTTTGTTAAAACATTTAATACTTAAAAAGGTACTGACATTTTAAATTTTTTCTCTTTAGTTACAAGTGGTGGTTCAATAAAATATTTTACACTACCTAACATTGAAAACGCAACACCAAGAAGGAGGTGGCCCAAAAATTACGGAAATTTCAGGGTGAATTTCGAGTTTAGTGAATGATATGAAATGTACAGCTCTCCAACGTATGTTGAAGAAGATATAACAGAAGGAACGTGCAGATTGTTAAATTTTCATGCCATTATTCAGGCTAGGGAAATCATTCAACAGAAAATTTGTTCTTATCTCAGAGTACATGTGTAACAGCAGAGAATGCCAGGGCATTGTCAATGGAGTCAGTTCCAGGAGACAGACAATTTTACAAGGGATATGGTGATCGGATTGAGAAGGGCAGGCTGGTCTATATGGCAAATCTCAGCTGACACACACCTGGACACATCCACAGTGCACCACAGCTGCGGCAACAATGGTTGGAACAAGGAAATGTAGCAAGTTTGAGGGATGCCAGAGTGTAGTCAGCTTGCATGGATTGAAGCATTCATCAACAAGTGGTGGTGCACCTGCAAACCACTTCTACCTCATTCTGCAGCATGTTGAAGACACACTGGACATTCCCATACTGACCAGAATCATTTGCCATCGATTGGTGGCTGGCAGTCTGCACTTGTATTGTTCGTTAAGAAGACTGCCACTGACATATCATAGATGCCAATGTACGCAAAGGTGCTGGGCTTAAGCGATGTGGAGTACAGAATGGCACAGGGTCATGTTCTCAGATGAGTTACGCTTCTGTTTCCCCAATAATACTTACAGCATATGAGTGTGGCATTGATGTGGAGATAGGCCCAATCCGGCAGCAATCGTGGAATGCCCCACCACATGACAACAGGCCATCATGGTTTGGGGTTCAATTGTACATGATTAAAGGTCACCTCTAGTTTGTATTCAGGGCACTACAACGGCCCAACAATGCATGGATGATGTACTGGAGTCGGTGACACTCTCCTACCTTCAGGCAGTGCCGAATGGCCGCACACTGCTCACCGTCAGCCAACATGCTTTCCTGGCCATTATTCTCTCCTGATCTCTAACAAAACACCACTCAAGGTGGTCCTACAACTTACTTAGCCGACACTGTTAATGGTCTGTATTATGCATATCATTTTGAAATAAAGATCACTTATTGTTCATTGCAGTCTCTCTCTGTTTGCCTAGTTTCAATGTCAAGTAGTGTATATCAATTTGTAATTTATATGAACAGGGTTCATAGCCACATTTTAGTTAAAAAAATAAGCACCTATAAGCACTTTTCAAGCACATTTTAAGAAAAAAATAAGCACCTGTCTAATTACATTATATACAACTGCATAACCTTAAAAGAAAAATTAGACTTGTAATTTAAAATATGAGCAATGCAATATTTATTAAGAGAATGAGCATTGAAATTTCAGTTCAAAATATAGAAAATAAATAATAAAAAGCCATATTAATTGTATTCGTTCGGCACCTAATAATAAGTACAATTTATTTTTTCACTCATATTAATATTTAAATAATTTTAACTTAAATCAAAATTCTGAACATTTTCTAAATTTTCATTGCATAACAGTTTTTCCCTTAACATTTATTCCAAGCAAAGTAATTTAAGTAAAAAAGAGGCACATTTCTGAAATCAGAAGACGGGAAATTGCTTCATGCAGTCATCTTTTAACAGTAAAAGCTTAACTAACCTGCATACTTGGAAATTGCCGAATATTCCGGATAGTAACTGGAAAATTGAGGAGTGGGGGAGATTGTAGCCGTTCTTTAGATTTCTTGGCTAAATAAATGATTTTGACATTTCGATATGTGCATCATATAAAAATAGACCAACAGAATTGAGAAATATTCTGCTTAGAAAGCACAGTAAAACTCTTTTAAGTGTTCATAAACAAATCTCGGACTGAACATCAAAATTAATTATCTCTGCAACATACCGCAAAAATTATTGCGCAATACGTGCGGCGTAGTTCTTCCACACGTGATATTATGCAATCGGAATCAACAGCTGCCAGTATTCGGAGAATAAAGAACTAAATAAAGGAAAAGAAAGGGACTTACTAATCTGGGGTGTTTCTGATTCTAATTTTGAACAGACTGCGTTAAATTTCCGAAACAGAATCAATCTTCGCTTAGGGCCTTAGTTGGGTAGAGCGCAAAAACTTTTAGTCCTATTCAATCCTGATTGGACAGTGACAGAAAAAAAGTCTGCTGCTTCAATATTAGAGATTTTGCGGAGAAAGGGGTGAACCTCCCAACCTCCGTATTATATAATGTATTAAAAAAAATTATAAAAATATGAAATTATTTTGACTATTCGGTTATTTTCCTTTTATTTAAGCCATTCCGAATAAAAATAAATTTTCATAATAAAAATTCAGAATAAAAATGTTATTTTCATAAAATATGGCGAACAAAAATAGAGGATACTTTCTACATTTTATTTTAATAGCTAAGTCCAAAATTAGAATTTCCACTACAGAAGAAATAAATATAAAATTGGCCTATGCAGATGGAACTATAAATATGTCTTGCAACAAAATGTAGTTCCAGAAAAGTAAACTGCACACAGTCTGTAAAGTAACATTTGGTACCTGTGCATCATGACAAGGATTCCATGAAGCATCCATTACTACTATACGGTTGGCACCCACCAAATTAATGCCAAGGCAACCAGCTCTTGTTGAAAGTAAAAAAAGTGAAACATTATCATTCCGATTGAATTCATTTATTAGCTTCTCTCGCTCTTGAGCCGAAGTACTTCCATCTAAACCTGGGAAAAAAATGTAAAAATCTTTAAAAAATGGAAATAAAAGGTGCAAAATTTATTCATAAATAGTTCTTGAACATATATTTTTTTAAGACCATTTGTAACTCAACTATAAAAGCAAAATAGCTCAAAAAGGTGTCAGAAAGACCAATTTATACTTACGGAAATAATTTTTATTACGACACCAAGTTTCATTAACTACAGGTTCTGATTGGTCTGGTCTTCTGGGAACTTGTATTTTACTTAAAAAATGTTCAAGAAGATCAAGGGTTGACAACGATTGACTGAATACTAATAATTTATCACCCATATGCAGAGTTTCAGCAATTATTACAAAAAGAACCATCATTTTATGGCTGTTCTCCAGGACACCAAGTACATAGTCCTTCATTATAGGGACAGCCTAAGGAGAAGACAGAAAAAAATGTATTTTATTGAAAATGCATTTACAGTTGAAAAGCAAAAAAAGCCCCTAATGTCTCATGAAAAGCTCTGGGAAAATATAATATTAAACTTAAACACTCTTTACGCATATATTGTTTATCTCATAGGAAAGAGGGATGAAAAAGAAAAAAAAAAAAAAAAATTCTCACAATCTGCAAAGATGTCTTCTTGAAAGACTGAAGAATTCTAATGATTGGACAGAACACTACTCAGTTTTCTTTAAAAAATTTCCTATAACTTTAAGTGTACTGCAAGGTTTTGTTTCAGTTAAGGACAAGCCAATGAAAGAAAAATACAGTAAGACCCTGCTTAATGCGGGGGATACATTCCATCAAAGTAGAGCGTAATGCAAAACAGCACTAAATGAGGCTATCTTAACATGCAAATAATGGGGTTAAGGAAAGATGAATTGAAAATTGGTTAGGTATTAAATTTAATATTTTTTAAATAAAAATAAAACCAAATATTTATTTCTTACAAAAATAAAAACAATATAAACGAATATACTTATAAAAACAAATAAAATTCTAAGTGAGTCAGATCATTCAGTCTATTCTGTGTTTCCAATTTTCTGACTTTTACTCAAGAAGGCATTATGATAGATTGGCTTAATGGCATGTTGTGTTCAATTTCGTCGTCAATCCATACAGACAATCGTTTTCCCATTTCCTCTATAATGTTATTTCTAGAATGGGTAATTCTAATTGCAGAGCTTGACGTAGTTGCAGTTGCCGATGACAGTATTTTTTCTTTATTCTTATGAGCTGTCCTTATTGTTGAAGTTGCCAAATTCAATGCAGCACTAATTTGAGATTGACGTTCACCAGAATCTATATCTAATTTCTAAACACTTGCATTTCAGTTTCCAGTGAAATGCTTTTTTCTGGTTGCTTTCTTTTCTTTTTTTTTTATTATCACCCATGATAAAACTAAAGATCATAATATTTATCACTGTATTAATTGTTATAGTATTATATAAATTTATACTTACAATAATGTCAACAAATGTTTTAAATGATAAAAATGCATCCGTACAGCACCGCACCAAACAAGAAACACAACTACACTGTTTCGGATATGTTATTTGAAAACCTAGCGCTGGGCACAATTTTGGGGAATCCCCGGGTTGAAATAAAAGAGCACTAAACCGAAACAGCATTAAGCAGGGTCTTACTGTATTTTAATTTTCAAAAATATGAATTTTTTATTAATAAATTTAAAAAATTGAATTATAAGTTTTATAACTTGCACAAAGTCTTACTACATCATAATCAGTATCTTATTTTATGACGTAACATTTCACATAATTAAAGAACACACATTAAAAGTAAAAAAAAAAAATCACGAAGTACATCAGCAACAACCAAGATTAAAAGAATAATAACTTTTTTTTTTTTTCAGTTCAAAAATGGAATTAACACAAACATGAATTTACATGAGAACAAAGGAAAAAAACTACTGGATAAATAACAGGAAGCAACAACATAATGTTAATAAAAAATGCATAAGAATTAATCAAGAAATGCTCCTTAAGCTCAGTTTGTTACCACAAGCCAAGCATTTTTGCAATAACCTTTAAGTTGGCTTACCAGACATAATTTTGTTTCAAATGCCAATTCTTATAAATTTTGTGCTAGTTTACAGTAGGACATCAAAGCAATTAGATGGTCAAAGAAAACTGCAATATGCATTATCGTATACATTACATCCAAAATGGAAAAAAAAATTATTGTATAGTCCGAGGAAATGCAATAACTATATTAAAACCAGGAGATAAAATTTATCTCAGCTTTTATTAATGGAGGAACCTAAAACATCAGGCAGTGAATATCAGGTGGGTATGAAGTCAATATGAATTCAAAAGCTTGCCAGTTACAGAAAATGGAAAGCCCTCATCAAAACTACACCAAAAATGTACATGAGCTATAATGCAGCAGATGCTAATAATGCTCTGTGTGACAGGGAAAATCACTACTGAACATGAAACATTGTTTTGAAGTGTATCATTCATAATTTGTTTTACATGAAGTTTGATTTTTCACCTATATATTTTAAGTACAGTGTTGTACTTTACTAAATCTCCTTACACATAATTTATGTAGCCCATAGAAGCCATTATGCCCATAGAAGTCCTTATACAACCTTTATCTTCCCAACTAATAGTCACAGACATACTTGCAGGTATAAAAATGTTTTAAATAAGATATATATTCATGTTATGGTATTTTTAAATTTAAAAATAAATTTTATAACAAAGAAAAAATATAACTTTTTTATACAGCTCCCATGTATAGTTATAATCCTTTAGGGGAAGTAAAGAGCACTACGAAGAAAATGACTGTTTTTACTGAAATTGAATAAGGGTAAAGCACAGGTAATGAAATGATTAAAAATTCAAGGCATAGGACCCTTTAAGTTCATACTAACTGCACACAGAATCTTCAAAGCAGTAATATGTGAAAATACCTAGGCGGTGATGTAAATGTTAAGGTGAGCAATAAGTTTTCAGATCTCATCCTCTGATAGATTTTGCCAAGTATTATTCATATGGTGCTTCAGATGTGCGACATTTTGAGAAGCCTGAATCTGGTCGCTTACCACATCCCACGCATGTTCAAATAGAGAAAGGTCTGGTGACCAAAGAAGAGTATAAATAGCACCAGGACAGTCCAGAGATACACAAGCTGCATGGAGTCTAGCATTATCCTGTTGGAAAATGGCTTAGGATGATATGACATGAAGGGTAACACAAACCGCTACAGGATGTCATCAACATACTGTTGAACTGCTAAAGTTGTTTAGGAGCTAAAGGACGAGTAGTGTCAACCTTTTGTTAATAAGGGATAACACCCCACACAAGGGGTAATAGTTGTGTGCCTCTGTAAAAGGTTAACTGGTACCCCTCAAGGACTCGATGGTGATGAGCTCAAACACGGAATTGGGATTCATCACTGAACACTATGTGATGTTATCTGGCTGGCAGCCATGACCATCGGCCACAACAACACTCCAAATGACTCTGTCAATGTTGCGGAGTTAAAGGCTATTGTGAATGCAACACGGCCTTGGTCAAGCACTGTGAGATGGAGGAATTTGCCTTGTACGATATGGAAAAGCCTGTAACACAATAGAGAGTGAAATATGATGCCACTGGGGCAATTCAGGCCTGTTGCACAATCATCTAATCTTGCCTCGCATTTCTGTATCTTTACACACCAGAGCCTCAATTTCACCAAAGAGTATCTTGCACTGTTGTGTCCATATGATGCAGGCGGCAGCTTACAGCTGAGTATAACTAGCCTGCTTCATGCATCCTTATTGTGCAACCCTGTTTGACGTTCAATTGTTGACAGTGTCATAACCCAGGGATTCAACCAGCATGGAATTCCCCAAGGACGAATTCAGTCAACCTTTTATTTTTAGCTGTTCAGTATTTAGTTTATATGGTATTTTCTTCCTTCTTTCTGCATGCCTTCAGGGTGTAATTGGAAGCATACTCAATGCGTATCTGAGAGGTCAGGGTTTAAGTCTGTAATCGCTTTACGGATGAATAAGGCACCATAAGGAAAATGAAACAATCATTTATTAAAAATTAACGTTCAAAGAATAATGGTAAACTGGGAGCACTACCTCGCTCCTACAACATAGTTAATCTACCACCTTCCTCCTCTGAGGCTAACATGCAACTGTCGTCTCTCTCACTTGCTGGGCTCTGCCAGGCAGCTGCTTGGCTCACCGCAGCCAGATACATGACAAAGTCCCAGCATTGGCACTGCTCATAAAAAAAAAAAAAAAAAAAAAAAAAACTCTACAGCAGTGCCTATACTAAAAGGTGGTGGAAGATAGTTTGTCACCAGCAGAATTTGACGGCCCCAGTCGCCCTTTAAAAGAGAGTATATAAGGTATTTTCTCTCTTCTTTACACATGCTTTCATGGAAGCATACTCGACATGCATTCGAGACATTCATGGTTCAATTCCTGGAAATGGTATTCTTTCATTTTTATGTACCCAGCTTTTTTTTTTTTTTTTTAAAAAAAAAAACTAATGACTCTACATGTTTATGAATATAAAAAAGCTACTTTTATTCAAGTTTTTGTATTTATAAACTTTTTTGATATTTTCTGTTGTTTAATTGATAAAACACATTAAAAATAATATTAATCTAAATAAATGTGTATATGTATTTTTCAAGCTTTGGAAAGGAGGGGGGAATAAACTTTTAGCAGTGCTGAAAGGGATGCTTGGAGCATAAAAGGTTGAGAATGCCTGTTATAACTGCATTATTTGTTGCATCTCTAGGGAACTGCAACACCAACAATGAGAAAACATAAGCCATCCACAATTATCCTGTTTTATACATTGTTCGTTGTACTCTAGAAATGCAAGCTATGACTGAAATTAACACTCACTAGCCTTGAAAATTTAATCGCTTTCATACTTGGTATGAATGGATTTGCATTGTTGAGATAACTGAAATATTTTTAGAACCCCCCCTTTTTTTTGCAAAAGAATGTATTTTTAGTAAGAGTATACATATTTTAAAAAATAAAACACAAAACTGACTCCTATATGTTGAAAATTGACTGAGATTTAATATTATATTCAGGGGGTCATATAAAAATTAAGTTTAAAGAAAGGTTTCTGAAATTCATATATTATGTGAGTTATGCAGACTGTCATGGAGAGATTTTTATCAATACAAATTTTTTGAAAAGTTAGTAGCATTTATAAGACGGTTATGGAATTTACATTTTAGAAACAATATCAAGATTCAGTATTGTAACATAGCAAAAACTTATAACATGATTTTGCAAAAATTAAAAGTGAAAAAAAATTTCTAGTCTAATGAATTTCTTACGACTATCAGATTATGATACTAAAGTAATGAAACTTCATGCAAATATTAACAACATATTTATAGCATTTAATATCTAACAAAATGATTAACGCAAAAATGTATTCACCATACCATACATTAAAAAAAAAAAAAAAAAAAGCTTTCTACTCTACTGAATCGCAAAAGAACATTACAGAATGAAATTTCAAGGCTAAAAAGGGGGAACCTAAAAGTATTCTCATTTATTCTTCAAATGATCTTGGGGGAATGGAAGAGCCACAGAAGGAAAAATACAAAATTTTAAAAAGGCATAAAAAGTTTAATTTGCAGTTTTCACAAAAAAAGTTTTTTTTTTTTTCAAATTTAAAAATGCCAAAGTGGAATCTTTGCATCATTTACAGCATTTTTATGACTGAATAAAATACATTTATCCAGGCCAATGGTAGCCCAGATAAATGTATTTTATTAAAGATAAATAAGAAACTATTTTATTCCTTTTTAAAATGGAAATTAATTCATTAACACAACTCTCAAAATTTGCAAATTTTAATTCTTTCACTATTGAATATATATTTTTATGGCAAGATGCTATGAGCTAATAAATTCTGCAATCATTAACTGAGTTTTTATTTTTGATAACAGGCAATTTTTATTTTCAATATCCATACCTGCCAACCTCTAAAGATAAAAATTCAGAAGATTTCTCCAAAATTCAGAAGAACACGAAGAATTAATATCATGCTTTGATATTAAAAAAAATAACAATTTATACAAATAGAAAAAAGAAAATTGTACTTACATTAGTAAATCTCAATTAAGTAGTAATTAAAAAAATTATTAGGAAACATAAAACAAGAACTTAATGTTACACAAAAAAATTATTGCAATGAATTTAGAGTGCATTTTTTGGCTTTAGCCAAAAGTTCTTTGGAAAATTTCCTGTCATAACATTTAGTTTCCTCATAACATTTAGCAATTAAAATGTTTTCTAGAGTTTTTGGTGAAATTGAAGAACGAAACATAGTTTTGTTTTTCTTCACAAGACTCTCTCGCACTCAGCATTGCTGTGTGGAATTACAAGAATAGCACATTAAACTCTTGCTGGTCTATCATATTTTGGTGTTCCATCAGCTCTTTTTAAGGTACCAATGAGGACATCAAGTCTATCTTCTCCAGAACTGGCAAAGTCTTCAAACTGTGCAGCAGAAAATTGGTTCTGTAGTTCATCTAAAGCATCATTATGGCATTCATTTTCTTTGTTAACAAAAATGGAAATTTATCAATAAAAAATCTGATGTGTACACCACATGACTTCCTTGTATGGAATATTAAATTATACGCATTTTTTCTTGCATTTTAATTAAACTTATTAGAATGAATTAAACCTACTTTGCCGACAGAATAGAATAAATGCATACACACAATAGAATAAATGCACTACCACAATAGAATAAATGCATTCTTTAAAATTCACTTTGTTTACCATAGCGACACTCTGGCGCTAGGTTTACTTAACAGTATTATATTTCATTCATATTATAACTCAGAATGCACAAAATGTATATCATTTAAAGAATTACCTAATCATTGCCACATGTTCTATTCAAATACTATAATAAAGCTAGAACTATGTATAAAAGAAATTAAGCAAACAAAACAAAAAAGAAACAGTTTTTCATAGACGATTGAGTATTTCTCATTTATTAATTCAGTTTTCACTTCGCGAGAACGCAAAAATACATAAAAACTCAAAATATCTATATTAAAATTTACGAAGTAAATCTCAAACACCTATTTCCTCGAAAAAATTCCAGAAAGGATTAAGCATGATTTAATTGGCAATAATAAATGAATGCGTTATCTTTGTTGTTGCGAAGCTAAGTTTCTCTAGATTGGCAACAAATCCACTAGTCTCTTGTTTCAAATGTAAACATCAATGGCCGCCATTAAAAACAGGCTTAGCGGCAATTAAACAACTTTAAAATTGCTGATAATTCTAAAAATATTGCACATAGATTTACTAAAGGCATAAAATCTTTAACTGGAAGATAAAAACAACATAATTCAATCATTTTTAAAGCAAAAAATGTACAATTTACAAACATATAAAGAGTAAAGAAACTGAGATCACTGAGCCAGGTAATAGAGTGGATATATTTATATACGTTTGGTGCAGCCGATTGCAACCAAAATACGAGATGCACATCTACATGTTATAGCAGTCCTACATACAAAATTTCAACGTTCTGAGGCTACTCGTTTTTGAGTTATGCGAGGCACATACGTACATACGTTCGTACAGATGAAACGAAAAATTCTCTTCAGAATTAATTTTAAAGCAGTTTTATAATTTTTTTGAAGGAAAAGAGTATTTTATTAAGTCCTTACGTACAGATATCACGCAAAAACATCGTTAAATTGCATTCAATAGCGGTCAAAATGGATTTTTTGTCGAAATATGCTGCCTGAAACTTTTCGCGTTTACAATACTTCCTTTTTACTTCGTACAAGGAACTTAAAAACGAATCTTTTCAAAAGATGAATTTTCAATTCGTTTCAAATTTGCCACTTCAGCATTTTAAAGAACTTCATTTTGCAAAGGAAACTTCCTTACAATATAATCACAGGCTGAGGAAAAGTACCTTCTGACACACTGAAAAAATTCTTTTGTCGATGTTGTCGAAGCCGAAGCATTAACTTCATGCTTTTTAGACTTAACATGCTTCACAATGTCGCTTCTTCCACCGTGACTTATTATGTAGTCGCACACAGACACGTTGCAAAATGCATAGTTATTTCCTTTGAAGGATTCTTTAATTGTTGGAAATTCGGCTTTGTAGGCAGGCCGAAAATATTGAGAATACGTTTTTTTTTTAACTCATTTAGTAACAACGACGTATTAAGAAAAGCAAAGTATTAAGAATTAAAATTTGTAGCACGTGCAAACACAAACAAACAAACAAACAAACAAAAAAAAAAAAAAAAGAGAGAATGCAACAATCCACGCTCGCTGAGTAATTCCCTTGCTGCTGAAGCGAATGCGAAAAAAATACCGTAATTTCCAGAAGAAAGGCCGCATCAGTGTAAACACCGCACTTGAGAAAAATGGCAGGAAAAAAATTAAAATTACATAGAAACGCCGCAATAGATTAAATTGCGCGTGACATCGTCGTGGGCCGTATAGATGCAAAAACTCAACCTAAGTCCTTATATATGACACACCAGTTAAGAAAAATGTATGAAATGAAACCATAACTCAAAAATAAATTAATGGTAAGAAATGTATAGCTTCTGTGCCGTTTAGAGACATTTTCAAAAATTTTCCGCTCCCTAATTAAAAACTATCCAACAAGTACTTGTACCCAAACTGATGCGATCTGTATTTGGCAGAATGCCAAGAAAAATCCATTAATGCTGAAGGGGAAATATGTCAGAGTTCGTTATTTCGAGGCAGGTGGAGTCATGTCCGCCTTTGAAAAAAATTGCAGAAAAGGCAGTGGTGGAGAGAGGATGGGCCTGGAAGATTCATCGAATGGCAGAGGAGAAAGACTTTTCAAACTGATGAGAATGTTGATTTGAAAGGGGGAGGAATGTTATTGTTCCGAGATCTCGTTTAGGGTGAATAAAGCATGTAGGTCTGTTCAAGGGAAAGAATGTAAACAAAATAACGTTCGCAAAAAGCAACTGAGTGGTCTTTTGTGTGGGAAACAGCACCAGTCTATGCAAGCCATCCAAACTATGTACAATGACCATCACAGGAAATATTTTATTTTTAGTGCACCTAAACGCCGCACCCGCTGAAAATTTAAGTTTTAAACACGTAAACGACGTGGCGTTTCCGGAAATTACGGTAATCTGGCGCCCACAAAGAAAAGTGTGGGAGAAACAAGTTCAGGGCATTGGATTGGCTGGTTAAGCGGCGAGTTTGGAGAAACCGCAGGTTACTGGATTCGAAGTAGACGGTAATTGGTGGTAAAACACGATGAAATTGGCGAAAAATTCTAAAATTTTGACAAAAATCACTAAAAACACTTGAAAAAGGAAAAAAAATCGTAAAAAATAGATTACGATCGTAAAATCGTAAAGACAAACGCATTTTCGTAAAAATTACGAAAAATTCTTAAAAGTTGGAAGGTATGAATATCCAATAACATACATATACAATAATAATCAAGATATTACTATAAGTTGCCATTACTAAATATGTTTGTATTAACTCAATATATGCTAATCAAAATCAAAAAATTTATGGATTTAACATGATAAGACATAGAAAATTCAATTTCAGCTGAGAAAGCAAGTTATAAAGGAATATTTACTTCCTCATTAGCAGAAAGCCTTTTATGCAATCCTATTGCTTAATGTTTTTTCATTCATTCAACTTATATTTCATTTTAAAGCTAATACAATCGTGAGTCTTTTTGCCCAGATTCCGAAACATATACTCTAAGGGGGGTGGGGTGGGGGAAGAAAGAGCGATTAATTACAAAGGAGCTTTCTAACGCTAATGAAATTTTGTATGTGAATATTTTTTTTAATCAACATTCAAAATGATTAAATTTTGGCAGCCAATGAAGGAATAGCTTAAACTATACAGTATCTAAACTGATCATCTTAATGTTTTATGAAAAAAACTTGTACCTTCTGTTTTAGACTTTTAATCAATCTAAAACAAGCAGGATAATCAAATCAAAGAAATGTTTGATATTTGGGTTTTAGTGACGGCACCAATTCGATGATGTTGGCAAGAATGGTTGATCCACTACAAAGCATAGCATCAAGAATATCAGAGCAAAAAAGTAGCAGCCAATTCCTCAGCGATCAATCTCATATATTATCGAGACACCAGTGGCTAAAAGGACCATTAACGGGTTACTCCGAAAACATGTGTATGTTCACCCTACCCATTATACAAACTGCCTCTCAATCCTGCACACTGACAAACATGTTTGCAAGTATGCCAGCCTTGTTAGACTTGGAATCTCATCGAATGGAGCAGAATTGCTTCCAGCAATGAATCCCACTTTGAAATGAGCTATGACAACCTGCAAAGATATATCTAGAGACACCCAGAACAGCAGTGGGATAATCACCTGTCACTCATCACACTGCTGCACAACCAGAAGTCATGGTCTGGGGTGCCATTTAATTTGATAGCCAGATCCCCCTGGCTGTCAACTGTGTCACCCTTAAAGGATGGTAATATAGTTAATAATATTTTATTTCTCATTGTATTGCCCTTCCTTCCAAGGCACACATTTCCACAGGATAATGGTCAGTCATGAACAGTAATCATTTCTGACTGTCTTTGTGCCTGTCAAACACTTCCCTGGCTAGAAGGACTGTATATCTCTGTAAGAGAACACGTTTGAGGTCTGATGAGCAAGTTTCCCTGTCTCAAGGTATTACTAAACTTACTTAACAGCTGGAAAATGTTCCAACAAGAAATCTTACCAGGAGGTCATCTGCCAAATTAATGAGTCAATGTCGTGCTGCATGTAACTTTGCATAACAGCCAGACACAGGCTAATTTCCTTTGCAACACACAGCTATATATCCTGAATAATAATAAAAAAAGGGGGGAACTCAATTTGTCTGAAATTTAATTACTTCTTTTTCCCCACATATACATCTAATAAATTTCATCTCATTCGCTTTTGTGCAGTGTAATTTGTCTTAAGAGTGTCTAAATTATATTCTGCTGAATCGGAGTAAACAAAAAACAAAAAGGAAACTTATTGTCGCTTTAGCTAAACAATGACACATTAAAATTGATGTAAAATAAACAAAATGTACTTGCCCACTCATAACTAATAGAAGAATCCATTCTATCACGAAAGGGCAAAACTGCATTTTCAGCTGCATTAGAATTATTAAGACCTTCACTTTCCAACTGGCATGCTTCAGATTTCATTTGATTTTGCTGCAGTTGTTGTGTTGGTTGAATGGCAACAGAGTCTGGACTCAACATTTGTGGTTTTACAGGTTGTAACACAGCTTTGGGGCACTTCGCAGGATATATTTCAGTTGAATCTTGCTTAATATGCTGAAGAGTAAAATTTTCTTGATTAGCAATAGATGCATTAAGAGGCTGAAATGATGAATTCCCACTAGCTTGCAAGTGTTTAACGGTCTGTTGGCCAAGGGGATGTAGAGAGGAATTATTAGATACCGGGCTACCATTCTGAAAAGCTTGAACAGAAAATGATGGTGGTTGTTTCACAGGATGCTGAGCATTTGTCTGAGGTAGTAAGGGTTGACAAAGTGATTTTGATCGCAGTTGCTTTGTTTTCCCTCCTCTTGAAATTTGCTTGTTTTGAAGTTGATTTACAGGTTGAATTGTTAGTCCCTGGGAAGTTGACACTGAAACACCAGGCTGCATCTGATTTTGAAAGTCTGGTTGAAATGCTCCTTTTACTGTTGTTTGGTTTGAAGTTTGTGAGAAGGAACTTGAAAACTGCTGTGATTGTACACTCGACAAACATTGTTGTTGAGTTGTATACTGCGGAGACTGCCCAGATCGTAATGACTGTTGCTTGAATTGCTGTTGACTTGTTAACTGAGAATAAGATTGAGATGATGAGGTCTGAGGTTGCTGGGTAAACTGCTGTGGTGTCACTTGTGGATACTGTTGCGACTGAGAATTTTGCTGTGACTGCGAATACTGCTGAGATTGAGAGTTTTGCTGGGATTGGGAATACTGCTGAGGTGAACACACATTCTGAGAAAATTGTTGAGGAGAAGGTGTCGGTTGCTGAGAGAATTGCTGAGGAGAAGGTGCTGGTTGTTGAGAGAACTGCTGAGGAGATGGAGCTGGTTGTTGAGAGAACTGTTGAGGAGATGGTGCTGGTTGCTGAGAGAACTGTTGGGGAGATGGTGCAGGTTGAGAAAACTGCTGAGGAGATGGTGCTGGCTGTTGTGGAAACTGCTGAGAAGGAGAAGGAGTTGCTGGTTGAGAGAACTGCTGAGGAGGAGTTGTTTGCTGAGGGAACTGTTCTTGTTGAGAAAATTGTTGTGGAGATGGCACTGGTTGCTGCATGAATTGCTGAGGAGATTGTGCAGGTTGCTGGGTAAATTGCTGAGGAGACTGTGCAGGCTGAGTAAACTGCTGGGGAGAATGCGATGACTGTTGAGGAAACTGTTGTGGACTTGGTGCAGTCTGTTGAGAGAACTGTTGAGGAGATTGCACTGTCTGTGTGAACTGTTGTGGAGATGGAACAGTTTGTTGAGGAAACTGCTGAGATGACTGGGAAGTTTGCTGGGAATACTGCTGAGTTGTTGCACACTGTTGTTGAGAATACTGGTGAGGAGACTGTGTAGACCTTTGAGAATACTGCTGAGATGATTGAAGTGGTTTCTGAGTATATGTTTGTGAAGATTGGGTAGATTGCTGATTATATTGCTGAGAAGTTAAGTTGTTTTGATTATATTGTTGAGATGATTGACCAGAAGTTCCATTAAACTGTTGAGAAGGTTGAATTTGTTGCTTGTATGACTGGGATGACTGAACTGGCTGATGATTATACATCTCAGCTTGTTTATTAAATTGTGGAGGAGATGAGCTTGTTTGCTGATTAAATTGGGAAGACTGAGTTGCAGATTGACTGAACTGTGAAGCCTGTTGATTAAAGGACTGTGATGGCTGGTTTGCTTGTTGATTAAACTGAGGAGACTGATTTGCCTGTTGGTTGAACTGTTGTGAAGACTGGTTTGACTGTTGGTTAAATTGCTGTGATGATTGGTTTGGCTGCTGGTTAAACTGCTGTGATGACTGGCTTGACTGCTGGTTAAACTGCTGTGAAGACTGGCTTGACTGCTGGTTAAACTGCTGTGAAGACTGGCTTGACTGTTGGTTAAACTGCTGTGAAGGCTGGTTTGGTTGTTGGCTAAATTGAGAGGACTGATTTGGCTGTTGACTAAAATCTTGAGATGGTTGAGGAGTTTGTTGAGGAAATTGTTGAGGAGAATGTGCAGTCTGTGATCCATAATGTGGTGTTTGCACCTGTTGCACATATGATTGTGTAGATTGAGATGACTGCTGATTATACTGTTGTGATGATGCAGCTGCCTGAGAATACTGCTGTGGGGACTGAGCAGATTGTTGGATGTACTGTTGAGGAGACTGAGGTGTAGCTTGAGAAAACTGCTGGGGTGAGTGAGCAGGCTGCTGTGAATACTGAGATGACTGAGGTACTTGCACAGAATATTGCTGAGATAACTGAGATGGCTGTTGTGTAAATGCTGATAAAACTTGCTGAGGAAACTGAGAAACATTCGGACTATTCTGTGAACATGAAGAGGAAGCTTGTGACAACTGCTGTGAAAATGACTTTTGAACTTGAGAAGTTTGCTGAGAAAACTGAGTTTTTGAAGAGGGCTGAGGGAAAAGCTGGTTTTGAGAAGATTGATTGAACTGCTGGGATTTTGAAGACTGTGGAGAATACTGTTGTGCAGATACTGGCTGAGTAAATTGTGATGTACCCTGCTGTGAGAACTGAGAAGATTGATTTATTTGTTGGTTATACTGCTGAGATGATGCAGCTTTATGATTATACTGCTGAGCAGATTGAGTGGATTGCTGGGAGAACTGTTGGGATGAATGCTGACTATATGGCTGAGCTGATTTGTTTGTTTGTTGAGTGAACAGGGATGTATTAGAAACCTGCTGGGAATATTGATGTGGAGAAGTGATTTGTTGAGGAAAAGACTGAGAATACTGAGATTCAGGAGAAGGCTGAGAAGAAAATGTCTGTTGTTGGTTGAAATTTTGTTGTTTATTTTCCACATGTGTTGGAGAGTGACAGACTTGCTTCTGACCACCTGGTTGAGGTGACTGTTGAGAAAACTGCATATGCCCTACAGAACCTTGCTGTCCTTGTTTATTAGAGAATTTTGGCGCTTGCAGAGATTGATGAGTAAATTGCGGCTGAGAATTAGAAAAACTCTGTTGCGAAAACTGCTGAGGTGATGATGGCTGGGTGTACTGCTGCCCAGATAGCATATATGACTGAGGAAAAGATTGCTGAGAAAATTGCTTTTGAGGTGAAGACTGCTGAGGATATGGCTGTGCTGTTTCAGTAAAAGACTGATGAGTTTGAGAGTACGGAGACTGAGATGTTTGTTGAGAAAAAGATTGCAAATTATGTTGAAACTGAGACTGTGACTGCTGAGAATATTCAGGAGACTGTTGTTGGAACTGTTGTGAATACAATGAGGCCGTAGGTGATGATTTCTGTGATGGTGAAAGCTGGGAATATGAGGGACCTTGCTGTGAAAATTGCTGTGAAGCTAAAGGCGGAGAAGGCTGTGAAAACTGCTGTGAAGTAAGAGATTGAGAAAACTGAGAATGTGGGGGTGACTGCTGGAATGGAGATTGTGAAGAAAAATGGTGAACAGATGATTGATCAGCAATCTGTGGTTGTTGATTAGTAACAGAATATGACTGCTGTGCAGGTGGGTGTGCATTTGGTCTAGAACTAGATGCTTGAGAAAACTGAGATGATGATTGCTCAGAGAACTGATGCTGTTTAGATGTTGAGGAGTATGACTGCTGTGAAGAATACGATTGAGAAGACTGTGAATTGTAGGTTTGCTGAGGAACAGATGACTGAGAATATTGAGATGACTGCACAGAAAACTTTGGACTTGAATTCTGTGAAGGTGATTGTGGAAATAGAATATCTTGATTATTGGTAGATTGATTTGAGAACTGCTGCTGGGATGAATTTTGATACTGCTTTTGGATATCATTCTGTTGAGAAAATTGAGAAGTATTTGGTTGAGATGAGAAAGATTGGGTAGTCTTTCCATGATAAGTTGACTGAGGTGAGTGCGGATGGTTGATAGATTCTTGTTGAACACCTGACTGTACCCCAAACTGGTTATGAATTTGAGAAGTTACTTGAGAATAGTTCTGAGAATTTCCTTGTGGATATTGGTTTTGTGACTGCTGTCCATACTGTGCTTGCAAAAGTGAAGTTTGAGAATACTGTTGCTGAGGTACTGACTGAGACTGAAAATGCTGCTGGGTTGTGTGCCTTGTATTTTGCTGCTGCACATACTGTACAGCATTTTGTGAATTACCAGAATACTGCTGATTTGACGACGTCTGATAGTTTGGTGCACAGAATGATTGACTCGTAGAACTTTTTGAATATGGTAATTGAAAAGATTGCTGAGAAGTTTGTTGAGAATATTCATTCTGAGTAACACACATATTAGCTTGGTTAGAGTTAACATAATCTTCCTTGCAACTCTCCTGTGAATTGAACTTCATATCCTCGTTAGCTTGAACATTTCCTTGCTCATAATTCATTGTTTCAGATTTAATGTTATCAGCTGGTGAACTTAAAATAGGTTGAGGTTTAAGATTTCTAGGAAGAGCTTTCAGTGGTCTTTGCACCAGTTTCTTACTTGGATTAAGAACTGTAAAAGAAAGTTTAAATGAAATAAAAGTCCAATATATGATATGAGAACTAGAAGATGTAATACATTAGTAATATTAATATTATTACAGATACTGTTTAAAACCAGTATAACATTTTGTCCAACCCAGAGACAATACGTATGATTTTCAGTAACAATATTAACCAAGCTCAATAAATGTTAACACTACACTGAAAATTCAGGCTCTGCAACATAATTTTGCAAAATTCACTATGCGAATTAAATGAGCTTGATTTAATCGCATGCCTCCAGAGCCTGGACACACTGCATGTGAAAATGACATACATGTTACAATAACTGTTACATTCTGAATTCACTTATTTCAAAAGAACAGCTCAATTATACTTGACTAAATGGCCATTTACATCAAAGGAACCAGTTTTAGGCAGCCTGCATATAAACATGTAAAATATGCTGATGACACAAACAACTATATGGGAATTCTTTATGCTACAATCACATCATGATTCACCTGTTTCAGTTCAATGCTCTACAGACAAAGTAATTTGAGCATTTGAGCAATTTGAGAATTATAGTAACAGTGCATCATACTGCTGCAACATCAATAAATTACAAATACATCAAAAAATTGAATGAATCATCAGAACCTACAGCAAATTTTGGTAAACAATGCACTTTACCACATAATAGTAGTGTTTGGGGTTAAGTATTCCTACATTAAAATGGCTTGCTCTTTTATTCCTAATGCTCTCTGTTCCTACCTTTATTTAAGGTGTTTTTATATCATCATACATTGGATAAAACAATGACATTAGATACTTGTGATAGAAGTGTATAAAGATATTATTTGCATTTAATAAGATCCAGCTTGATTTATGAAGTGAATACATCAGAGTAAATTCAAAATTGCAATGCATTTAGAATGAAATTAAAAAAAAAAAATGGTGAATACCTATTAATCACACAGGAAAATAAATAAAAACTGTCAAAATCATTATACACTTTTTTTAAATAATGAACCTCTCTGTGATACTAACTTTCAAAACATTTCTTACCAAACACCATATATTAGTTATTAAGAATATCTATTTTCATTCCAATTTCTATTCCATTTTCGCCTTTGGGTACCCTCAGTTAAAATCAGGAAGAAGCTAGAAGATTTCGAGTGATTTGCCTTAAGTAAAAAGTTCTATACAATTTCTTTCACAACAATCATTTGTATAGGAGCTAGCCAAAACTACTAGCGATGGGAAGGTAAGCAAATAACTGACTATATCAAAAGATGGCTATCTTTTAAGGAGATATTTAAGAACTTCCAACGGTAAACTGGCTAAAATTCATATTACACAAAAAATCCACAAAAAATTTTAAGGATCACCCTAGTGGAAACACTGAAGCTCATCTAGCCGTCCATAATTTAATAAATAACTAACATTCAAGGGTGTTACTTCTTCACGATAAACAAGTATTCTCATAATCATAATATAGTAGATAGCTTGCATAATTTCTGAATACATTTGTTACCTAATGGCATAAGCTGCATGACCAAGACTTAGTTCAATGAAAACGACTCGTATGTATTAAACAGAAGAAATACAAAATCACCAGGACAGCCCTAGCTATATAAACTACAAATACTTTTAATGACTGCAATGGAAGTGATGTTTCATGACACACATCAAAACACAGTTCACAGAATCTTCATATACCGTGAAATTTCAAGCCAAGCACCTTCCACCTATGAAAGCATATGCAATGAACACCTGTCACTCTGAAATTGATCCAGGAATAACGAATGTAGCTACTTGTTCTGATGCTGCCACTATGTGGATTTTCTATTATACATGAGTGGTTTAGGTGCAGTAAAGAAGCTAGTGAAGGAAATTTTAATATTTTACAAGAAAAACTTTTTAAGAACAAAATTTCAGAAATCTGATCTCAATTTAACCACCTATGTTCATTCTATATACCTTCTTACCTTCAAGGATAGATTTGTCTAGAACTAAATATTGAAACTGATGAATTCAACATGCTCATTTAAATTCTAAATGCTTCAGTTCTCAGTTCAGGTGAACATTAGTTGGATACATCAAACAACCTACAAGAATTGAAGTGTCTCATTTTGCAGTTTGAAGACTGGTTAATTTTTAGGCAGTCAGTAAGGGCTACTAATTTTATTAAAGTCAGCAAGGGCTACAAATTTTGTTAAAGATATTTTTACAGAAAACTGGCTCATATTCAATTTGTACAAAAGGAAAATCACAAAACCCTCCTATAGTTCAAGGATGTTTGTAGATTATATAGGTAATGTTGTTAAAATACGTCGCATAATACAGTAAAAAGTCAGAGATCCGGACGTCCAATATCCAGAATGATCTAAAATCTACAACTCAAAGCCGCTATTTAATTAAGAATAACCGATATGTTATTCACATAAACACAGAATCGGCATTCGAATTTAGGGAAGACAAGATTTATGGAATTTAGGGAAGCAACGAGCAGAAAAACTAATGGATGATAATATTTTTATAAGTTAGGGAAAGCACTCGGATCCAAAGTTCAGGGGCAGCAAAAATTTAGAACTTAGGGGCGCGTTTTGTAGCAGAATTCAGGACCAGCAGAGACTGCATCAAGCGGTATCTAGCACCTGCCCCCAATAAGCCTTAAGTATATGTGGGAGTTTATTAATTCAGGACTCAGATTAGCCTTAAGCATGAGCAAGAAATAGATGTAGGTATAATAAATAACTAAACTAATACAATTCAGGCTTAATTGTCTCAATACACGATACAACAGAAGCAACACAACATTTAGCGGAACAACTTGTCTTTCATTGCCAATCTCATGATACATAGCCAATAATGTATAGCGGATGCTATTAAGCTAAGTTAAAATTATATTTTACTGATTCTAAAGAATTTCAGCAGATTCTGTTGTTCCCTAATCCAGGGTTCGTACACATTTCTGCACATGGAAATTAAGTAATTTTAAAGACCATTAATGAAAAAAATTAAGGACCTATAAGCAAATAAGAACTGAATAAATTCAATTAAAAATATCATCTATACCTGAACTTTACTTTTGTAATACCATGCTAAAAATAAAATAGATACGTAAATCTAATGCATTATTATTAAACATAATTCACATAATTATTAATATGTTTGAGAATGAAATAAAATTTATGAAATTTATCAAGTAGCATTAATATTTTACACTTATAATAGTTGAACATTTTTGAAAGAAGATAAGTGACATTTACGTTTAACTAACAGTTAACTTCATGTTGAATTTTTTCCTCTGTCTCATTTTGTAACGTACTTGCTCCGTCTAGAGGTTTAATAAATAGCTGGTAGACTAATAATGTTGGTTAAAAAGAAGGAAATTGATATAAATTAACCAAAATGTCTGGGAAGGCTTCAAATTAGAAAGACGTATAAATATTTTGTTGAGTGTTGTTATTTGAAAACTTGTAGCTTTTAATGTGTAATTATCCTAATATATTTTAAGAATTAATGTCATAAATTACATGTATTCTAAACTGTGAAATTTTATTAGATTGTGACTAGTACTGTTTTTTTTTTTTAAACAAATATTGTTAAGAAGTAGTCTAGAGGTTTAGTAAATAGCTGGTAGATTTTTATAGCATGCAGCAATGAGAAGTAAAATTATAATCAGCATGGTGAACACGGTAAGGATTAATGAAAAGCAATAAAGCTTTAATATGCAGAGATAATTTTTAAGGGTAAGCAGTTAGTTATAAATAATTAAATTAGGTAGTTAGATAACCTTAGTCATTATGGATTTACATGGCTATTATGAAATTTTATTTATTTTTAACAATATTTGTTAAAAAAAAACACTACTAGTCACAATCTAATAAAATTTCACAGTTTAAAATACATGTAATTTATGACATTAATTCTTAAAATATATTAGGATAATTACACATTAAAAGCTACAAGTTTTCAAATAACAACACTCAACAAAATATTTATACGTCTTTCTAATTTGAAGCCTTCCCAGACATTTTGGTTAATTTATATCAATTTCCTTCTTTTTAACCACCATTTTCTAACAATTAGAAATTTGTCTCCATACGCAAACCAGTATGCTCACTAGTTTCTGTGTGCTTTATCTCCTAACTTGTCAACCTCTCCACAATGTTCACTTGATCTGGTAAAAGTTTAAGAGTCCACCCCCCCGACAGACCTGAAGCATATTATCACTATGTCTGAGAGTATTTACAAAATCAGACAAAAGTTTAAATAAGTCCTTTTTTAAAAGGAACTTAGAACATTAAGGCATATTCTTATGCTAACAAAATCAATTACATATCCTGGTGATGTAATTAAACAAGAAGAGTTAAACTCAAACTAAAAATGTGAACTACTGGTCAAAGACAATACAATTTAATTTTAATTTACTCACTAACTATCATCGTAACAAATTCAAATATTGTCACGGATAATGCAAAGCCAAATAATTACAAATTATCAGAGCTGGTCAGAACTAATGCAGTGAGCAAACGGAGCTCCAAAAACACACACTGTCTTATACTCCAAAAATCTCAGTTTAAAAACTGTCAAAGTGATTTGCATTCTGTTTATGAAAGAGAAATTATAGAAAGGCAGAAATTAAAAACAACTGGGTAATGTACATATTTCTTTGAGGAACTATTTTCTTTCTCTTTACATATTTAGTTCCTTTCTCACGAACACGTAATTAAACAAATTCAAACTAATAATGTGGACTAGTGGTCAAAGATTATACAATTTTATTTTAAATCTGGCTCAACAACTCTATCATATGAGGAAATAGAAATGGGAAATTATAGTAAAGGTTGAAATCATAAACAATTGGGTAATTTACATAATAATAACTGCCCATATCTTTATAATTTCCTTTATGTACTCAGTTTCTTTCTTCAACACGTTACCTTTTCCACTTCAGAATTTTTGGATTCAATTAAAGATTTCTGTTATTCTAAAAAAATACATTTAGAATGTATAGGAAAAGCTGTTCTTTAGTAACATGAACATTCAGATGAAATATGTATGGTAAGGGCCGGTTACAGAGCTGGTATGGCAGAATTTTTAGAATTTGGTGACACACTGAATAACAAAATCTAAATGGCAAAACTTTTAGAATTTAGAGCAAGCATTGGAAGCAGAATTTAGAATGTCCTTTAAAGTACTTGAAAAGGCTCCAGGCAGCAGAATTTAAGACCCAAAGAGACTGCATCAGGTGGCAAAATGCCTAGCTCCAGCCCTGTGTATGATGCATTAAGACATATTAGATTGATCTTTTGAATTGCCAGTTTTCAATTTATTTATTAATAAAAAATTCCTTTCCATAATTTGCCTGTCCATATGATGAGAATGGAAGCATTTTTGATATTTTCCATGCTTGTGTCTAGTGAACAGTAGAGAAAGAGAAAACTGATGCATATTCTGAACATTCTGAGAAATGGGAAAGACTCTTACCATGAAAAAAATTAAAAAGACATTTTGAATTAATTACATAGCTATTTTGCTTTTGCTAAAAACTGTTTTGTAAATTGTGCTTCATAGCACTATACCTTGTTTATTTTTCAGATCCAAAATGTTTCATAACTTATATGCAAGAAAGCAAAAATAAAAATGTTTCATTTTAATGTTATTTTTTAAATATAATTTAAATATATTACTATTATTTTAATGAAATTTATCAATGTTACAATGTTTACAAAAAATTGTCAAAAAATTGCAAGATCTCTGAATTAAAAATTTTCTATAGAAACTGATCTTAAAATCGCCAAAATGTTGATAAATGGCCTCGTTTAACCCACTAAGCGGCAAGGCCGTATATATACGGCCTAGAATATTTATTGTGATATCTGTAAGAACTTATATATACATGCATATTAAAATATGTCAACGGAATTAAGGCAATATATTAAAAGAAAACAAATCCAGGTATGAAATACCAGGAAAGTTTTTGCATTAAAATAAAAATAAAAAAAACAATTTGTTCTCCTAGTAATTTTGGGAAATTTGTACTTCTTAGCAAAAACCTTGGCCGCCCAGAGGGTTAATAAAAGAATTCACATCTCCAAAAGTGAAAAGTTGTTTTAAACGTTCATTAGATAAAATGAAATAATTTCAAAATGCTTAAGTTTCACTTCTTGCTCAGAAACACAAGTAACCCACTATTTATATTAGAAAAAATATCAAATTGTAACCCATGAAGCCATTCAAAAGATAACCATATTCATCAGTGAATCACCAAAAAAACACCCCCTCAAATGCTAATTTACATTCAAAGTGCCAGTTATAAAAACCGACAGAAATTTCAGATTATTAAAATTAAGGACCTTCTGCCGATTTTGGATGAAATTAAGAACTTTTAAGGACCAAACACCGATTTTATAAAACCCAAGGACTTTTAAGGACCATACGAACCCTGCTAATCTTCTATTTTGATCCAGCTTAATATTTTTGGCAGACTGTTATTATTACAGCAATTTTATGAAAATTAAAGGTTAAACTTTCTATTATGTAGAAAAGAGTTTCTAATTTGGATCTGCAACAAGATTTACAAAGTGAAAGCATGTTTTGATGTCCATTAAAGAAAATGTGGAATTGCTGCAAAAAATGGATAAAGACATATCCGTCTCAAAATTATGGGAGGAGTATGGCATTGGAAAGTCAACTGTATATGATATAAGAAAAAAAGAACATTTTGAATGCTTTGTGGATTCTGGCACCCCACTTGCAATGAATAACAGAAAAATTGTTCTTTATGCTAAAAGTGATAATCATGACAAAGTGATGATTAAATGGGTCAGACAGCATCGCAGTAACGGCGTGCCATTGCCTGCTCCAATGCTAATTCCTCAAGCCAAAATATTTCATGAAATGAACTTAAAACCTGAATGCACATATTTGATAGCCTGGTTAACCAAATAAAAAAATCGTCATGGTATAAGACAAAAATTTCAGGTAAAAAAGCTTCAGCTGATATTGAAGCTGCTGAAAAATTTGCAAATGAATTCATTGAACTCATTACTAGTGAAAACTTATCTCCAGAACAAATTTACAAAGCTGATAAATCTGGTCTTTTCTGGTAATATGTACCAAAAATACCTTGGCAACCTCTAAATAAAGGCTTCAACTGGTGTTAAAAACTCCAAAGCGAGACTAACAATTTCAGCATGCGCAAATGCTGCAGGAACACACAAGTGCAAACTTTTTGTAATCGGAAAAAATACACGACCTCGAGCATTTAAAGGAGTAAGGATTTACCCCGTTATACATTGTGTAAATAAAAGAGCATGGGTGACACAAGCATTAATGAATAATTGGTTTGAAAATCATTTTATACATGAGGCTTGGAAACATTTGATTTCGGTTGGTTTACCTAATGGCGCAAAAAATTGTCCCGATTGTAGATAACTGTTCGGCTCATACTTCACTTAAAATTTTAGTGAAAGATAATGTATCCCCATTATTCTTTCCGCCAAACTGTACGTCCATCATTCATCCTATGGATACCAGAATAGTGCCCATGCTGAAATACAAAGTAGCAATTTTAAAATCCATGCTAAATTTCTTACACAATGGCAAGACTATTCAAGAACATTTGGAATATTTTAGCATAAAATCTGCTATGTGGAGCATCGGAAGATCGTAGGAAGATGTGTCTCCAGATACTTTAAAAAATGGTTGGCATAATTTATGGCTATCTAACAACCTATATCATGGTAAGGATTGTGAAGCTGTGAATTGGAAAGTTTTTGGATATCTCAGACCAAAGGTGAAATTTTCAAATTAATGGGATTTAAAACAAAATGTGGAGAAGCAGTAATAAATGAAAATGCTTTAACAGAAATTTTTTCATTGTGATATCAATGTCCCAAACATCAATCAATTAATGGACAGCAAAACCTGCAGTATAGTTCTAGATCCAGAAAATGCCACTACTGATAGTAAAGAAAGTGACAGAGGTGACTGAAAAATAAAAAATTTCGACTGACACGTTAGTCGGAATTCTCAACACAGCAATTGCAGGACTTGAACAATGGAACTTTATAGCTAAATAAAATATTATACCTGTTTATATGTACCTGTATTTTCTTACCTGTATATAAAGAGAAGGTACTAGCACAAAAAATGAAGCAGCTTAAACAATTTAGATTGAAAGAAATATTTAATAAAGTAATCAAATAAATATTAATTTTTTTTGTAAATTTTGATATCCTTTAAATCATAAATGCTCATTATTTCATAAATTATGATTTCATATTTTTAATTTTACAATTTCTGCCTTCCATCATAGTAGATTTAAATTGATGATCTGATATCAGGAAAACACCCTACCCGGAATTGTCGAAATTCCAACGGAGCCGAATCGCGGACTTTGTACTATATTCTGCCATTCAATATAATTATTTGACTAATATTGTAAAGCTGTTTCATATGACCCCATATGACCAGAACTTTGATAAAAGTTATGCAGCTCAATGCAGGCATTTCTCAAGATTCAACTCAAAACCATGAAACCACTTTCACATACACAGGATCTTTCTAAAACAAGTAAAGGCAAATTGTGTGTTTCTCATTTCTTCCAAATCAAAAGTCTAGAAACAACAGTCCAAACCTACGACATTGTAATATTAATCAAATGCTTCTCTTATTCCTCTAAACAGATTTTTCTTGGTGTTGGTATCTCATTTTACATCACTGTTTCTCATAATTTTATATTCTATAATAGTACATTGCAAAGTATAAGGAATAAACTTGTCAAAGAAATAAAAACAGCTCAAAATTATCATGTTAGCACCTCTTTTCCTTAACCCACAGTTTGCACCGGATATAGCAGAATTAGCAGCCATAGTAATATCAATATCCAAGTCAATATCCTCTTGAGCTTTCTTCTCTTGAAGCAGCTTGTATAAAATATCAGGGTGGTTCCATATCTAAAAAAAAAAAAAAATTGCACCAATTAGAGCCACATGAAGTATTTATTAAAAAGAACACATCCACTCAGCATATATAGCATTCTCATATGTATTACAAAAGCTAGTTGCATAAAATGAGTCAGGCTAGTTTGTATTCAATCAGTATTATTTGTATTTTTTTATTTATATATTGCAAAATAGAAAAGGAAGGCTACTACTAATGTAAATTTTATTAGCAAATGTACATGTTCAATATCGTAATGGATGTCTAGTAAGATTAAGATAAGTGATTAAGGTAAGTGCAGAGTAACAGCATCTGCATTTGGGATAAAATTAACCTGATGATGATGGAAATGCTGAAGTGACTAATTTACTTATTTTAGACATTTCTTAGAGCTTAGCATCGGTTTATTTATGGAGGCCTTAAATTCATATAATTATTGCCAATTCATTTATTTTTTAAAAAAACTACTGCTGTTTTGCTTATCATTCTATGATTATTTCTGTCTAATTTTTTTGCCAGAGGATGCATGTGTATTTAGGTTGAAACCTTCGCATATAATTATTTGACTAATTTTGTAAAGCTGTTTCACATACATCCATATGACCAGAACTTCCAAGAGAAGTCATGCAACTCAATGCAGCAACTTCTCAAAAACCAAGAAATCACTTTCACAAAACAGGATCTTTCTTGAACAAGTGAAGGCAAATTGTACGTTTTCTCCCTTCCTCTAAATCAAAAGTCCAAAAACGCAGTTCACACTATATATGAAAATTTCGATAAACAATAAATAGCCCTATTCCTCTTAGCACTAATGAAAATAACACCACAATTTTAAAAAGTAACCTTTGGAAGAATCACACATCATTGATTTTCTTATAAAAAGTCCAATCTCATGAAGTTTTCAGGTAGCACAATGGGCGATTCAAGTTCTGCATACGAAACCATATCTTATAAATGGACCGGCCTTTCTGTAAATACACTGCTGGCTATTAGAATTGCAACACCAGGATGGAATGATCTGACGAGCACATGAAGTCACATTGAAAGGAAGAAGTTGGAATATGCGAATGATTAGTATTTCAGCACATTTAGACGACGCAGGAGGGAGAAACATCATCTGAAGCACTGCATAAAAGAAAAGTCGCCTGTTTGCTTTTGATATCAGCACAGAGGCCCTGCACTCGGTGTGATAGTTTGGGCAGCCACTGGGTACACAACACGAAAAACTAGTTTGTATCGACGGCAATTTCAATGCAGATGGGTACATTTCTGACATTCTAATGCAAGACCACATGTAGAACATTGTGTTCTACCTTCCTTGATACACAGGGTATTCGGTTGCTGCCCTGGCCTGCACAGTTTCCAGATCTGTCACCCACTGAAAACATCTGGTCACAGGTTGTTGAGAGACTAGCCCGCCACTCATCTCCAGCTAATATGGTAGATGAAGTGCGGCAGACTTGAGGCAGCATGGAATAGGTTGCCTGTTTCTGTCATCCAAGTCAGGTTTGACTCCATGCCTAATGGGGTAAGGGCCGTTTTAGCTGCCAGGGGTGGCAGATGTTTCTACTATTTTAACACCTCTGTAAACCTCCAAACTGCTTACAAATTTAATCATTTTGTCTTCATGTTATACTGCTTACGTGCAATAAATCTCTCTCTTTTTTTGTTTAGTATTTTATTTTTCATTCATAGTGTTGCCAACAGTGTAAATTGATGTTTTTGTTATCTGTTATGAAGGGTTTTATTCTTGCCATGATATGATTTGTTTGAGTTTGTTTAATGAACGCGAATAATCATAGTTTCTAATATATTATGGCATTAGAGACAGGTCATTATTTGTAAACATGGAAAAGATGACTGAAGCGAGGAAAGTGGCAAGAAATTTATTCATCGACATTCTAAATTGTAAAGGAAGAAATCTGAAGAAATGCAAAATTCAAATAGTCCAGTATAGATGCTAGAAGCTAACAAAATAAAAGAAAAAATTTTTGTTGAAAAAATTAAGAAACTAATCTTAATAATGTAACAAACTCTTTTGATAGTGTAAATGTTTTGCAAAATTAGAAGTTTAAACTTCGAAAAACTGAGTTAAAGAAATATGATGGAAACAGTGAATGGTTGTCATTTTGGACTTTATTTAAGAAAATATATGTAGATGATAACATAGATCCTGGACATAGATTACAGTATCTTATACAATGAGCAGTGATAAATTCTTGAGCTAAGGCATTAATGGATGGCTATTCTGCAACTTCAGAGAATTAGCATAAAGTAATAGAAAAAAATCTCAGTTCATCTTCGTTACACAAAGTTACATGATATCAAAATTAAATTTTTATAGCGAAGGACTTCGACTTGAATTATTATTCCAGTATATTTTTGTGGAAACACAAGGCTAATTCTAGCATCAGACGCAACACGTACATGGGAATTCCTTTCGAGAATGTCTCAAGTCGTAAAACATCATTCATTTACCGCAGAAGTCAGCACCTAGATCAATTTTAGTTGAATCTTCATATCACTTACTATTATTTTTTTTTGACAAAATGCATTCCTTTGAAACTATGTGGAGATGGTCGTCAGAAAGGCACGAAAAAGAACAAAATTGCAGACACATGTCATCTACAGTGAAAACAGACAGAAGCACGTCCTACCCCTTTGGAGTCTAGCAGGAGAAGAGGAAGAAAACTGGTTGTAGTGGTCAATCTCGCTGTCATTTAGCAGTCGCAGTGAACAGACTTGATGTTGAATAAATGCGGAGGCTTGCCTGCACAGCCTCCACATTTATTGAACATCTCAAACTAAACCAGATTGGACGTAAATGGAAAAAGTATGTGGAAATCAGAATAGTATAAGGCCCAGCAGCTCAGTCATGGAACACTGGTAGTTTGGCCTAGGGTTTGAATCCTGATGAACAGGGCTGACAGCATGGTCATTTTATGGTTTTTGTATTATAATGTGTATACAAGTCATTTTGTCTTAGAAAGTCCTCTACGAAAGCGTTCAGCCTTATAGCAGATAGCCCTTGAGTGCTTTGCCATAATCAAAGAAACTACATCAAACCAGAATAGAAGAAATGTAAATATGACTGTAACTCCCCTGTTGCAACTGAGGTTATGAAAGAAGCATAGTTTGATTTGAGAGGTTTGGAATACAATTGTTTAGAAACCTGTGCACTTGAAACCAACATATCAAATATTTCAGAACTATTCAGAAAAACTAAATTATTCTTCCTAGCAATTTTGTATCTCTTCTTGAATTACTTATGATGACTAAAGGGTAAGAAAAACTAAACTATTCTTCCTAGCAATTTTGTATCTCTTCTTGAATTACTTATGATGACTAAAGGGTATTTCATCATAAGAAATTAAAACTAGTACTTTTTTTAAAATTCTATAATGATATTTCTAATACTTTCTTTTCGATGGTCTCTACTGACACTAACTGAATCATTCTCTAAAATCTCTTGACATATTGACTGGAACTCAATGACTGCTAATTACTCCTTAGTCTTGAGCCTAATGCTTTATACTTCAGGCATGTAGAATTGAGAGATAATTACACATGACATATCCTTTGCTCCAGGGAACAATGGTGCATTTATATTGCATTTGAAGTTATAAGATATCGGTTGAATTGCAATTTGATTTTTTATTTAGTTTCTATCTTCTAATTACTTTTACATCTATCCCCAGAAAAGTAATTCCATAAGAAAACAGGTTTATTATTATTTTAACTATGAAACAAACTTACCCATCACAGGTATCCATAGGTATACATCACACAGAACTCTAAAATTAAAGGGCTGGAGGGAAAATAAATTTGGGTATGCATTTTGTCTCATTACATTAATAATTGTCAGCACAAATCAGAAAACTGTAAAACTAATGGAGTTTTAGATTTTGCTCATGAAGTCTAAAATCCGTCAAAATGATGGGTTTTATAAATCTAGCATTAACTGATTACAGCAAGACAAATATGGACTCTCTCTCTCTAAGATGGATTAAATAACACACTGCCTTGATAGCCAGTATTTTAAACTGTTATTTCTGGAACCCATTTTAGAAGCTCATGTTTCTGCTTATACAAGACTTATTATCATGTAAAGAAATTTGCCACATCATATTTGATATCTAGTTTAATACAAAATAAATGATTTTCTTGAATTTTTACAACAGTTTAAAATATGACAGGAGGGAAAAGAAAATCTATTTAGCAGTAACTAATTGTGATGAAGAGATTTTAATGCAGCTTTAAAAAAACTCAGCATTTAACTAAATAGGAGATATATGAAAAATTAGATTAAAAGTCAAAATTAAAACATGCAGTTATAACTCAAGTAAAATAAACTTACTTTACAACAGACAGCAAACAATTTTAACGGATTAGTAGCTTGCTGGACATATAACAGGTCTTTTACAAAACACTTGTAGAGTTGTCTTTGAATTGGAGTCATCCTTATTAACAACACATGCTCTTCTTTTTTAGGAAGAACAGCTCTTAAAACTGAGTGACCTCTTCTGCAGAAGTTAAATACAACTAAAATTAATATAATTTTCCATTTTCACACTATAAGCAGTTCAAAATTTAACAGACACATTTCACAGTCACATTTATAAGCAATTTTTGCTCAAATGACATGTCAGTTTGAAGTTTTGAAACAATGAATGCATGTATGACAATGCATCATACTGACTGATTTTTTAATGGATTATTCTGAATTTATAAAATTACATTTATTTAACATTCTGATATTACCATGCTGTACTAAAATTAAATATGAAAGAAAATTATAACACAAATAACAGACTTCAGACATTTATTCTCTTCTTTATTACTTTTAATATCTTAATGTAGAAAATGAACTTTATGGATAGTATAACTCTTTCTCAATTCAAATGATTGTGAATTTCTACCGATATTAGTCTTATAATTTTCAGCTCGTTATTCAAAAATGCCCTTTGTTAAAAACACAGCTGTTTTCTTTGCTTAAATTTCAGAGGAATGATACAAAGCAGACAGATCATTCATCTACGGTTTTTCCTAGTTTGAAAACTTTCACAAAGCTACCTGGGTAAGATAACAACAGCACATTTATACTCTCTTTTGTTATGGCAATGATCTTATGTAATGAATAAGAACTCGGGTATCAGATCTCTCTCTAGTTTTCTACATGTGAAATTAGGCATTCAGGCGTAAATGATGCAAGTCTTACTTAAGTATTAAAATTAATAACTGAGATTTTTTTAACTATAATTTTAGAGCACATTTTAGTTAATTTTTTTGCCAGGTGGCTGCACACCAGAACCATCATGAGTAAACACTGCAAAAGCAGCAGCCTTAAAACAAATATATTGTCATCTTGTCATTATGGCTCAAGGCAAAGTTTTGATATTGCAATTCTAAACTGGAAAATACTGCTTCAAAAATACTGGCTTTAATATTGTACTTCCAAATTAGAAAATATTCACTTTAAGGAACCCAGAGTGGTGGTGGTAATGGTGGGGAAACATACCAATTACTTGACAGTACAGCAAGGATAAAGAAATCTAAGTATACTAGATCTTTCTTTGGCAGCAAGACCACAAAACAATAGGCAAATCTGCAGCCCAGTCTGCTTAGCCTGAAGCCCAGTCTTACACTTAGCAAGTGATGCTTTTTATAGTCTCCTAAACCCACTATTTGGTCCAGGTCTGAGGGATGACCATTCCCGGTTGTCGAACCTCATGATGGGATGCAGCCATATAAGCCTGATTGATTGGTCATCAAAAAGTGCTACCCACCAGTAGTATGGGGCTGCCTGCCATCTAGACTTAACACAGAATATGGATGACAGCGAATCTGAGAGCACAAGGCACAGGTGTGTTTCTCTAGCGAGACCCCAGTTTGAGGACTTGCGCCAATCCCTCTTGGTCCAACCACATAGGACAATCTTTCTTCAGAGCTCTGGAACCTCCAAGACTAATGATTTTAAATCCCAGTGGCCAAAACTGCCTAGGTACAGATCCTAGCCAGTAGCTTCACAGGTTTTCTCATGTTGACCAGGTGGGGTGGGGTGGGGTGGAACAGGTAAGACATGCAACATCTTTTTTGGAATAATTTTTTTAATGGAGGGCACTAGGCATTTTTAGGCTTTTGCCACTACAAAGGCCAGAAGTGGTGGTCAATTTATTAATGAGGTGCCTAATAGGCAGGCACTGTTATCTCCTATGAGAGGATAGACAATGTCCATGTCTTCCCTGGGATTCAAATGGGCCATTCGGTATCGTAGTCGGCTCCCCTAACCACTATATCATCTGGGCAGCTTCTTGGAATAAATAAACAAGCAAATGAAAAGAATAAATGGCTTGTAAACTAGAGACAAATTTAATAAAGGCAAACAAAGCCAAGCTAAACACTGATGGAAATTTATCAGCATGGGATTATATTACATTTACTAACCTAAAGATTAAAACTGCTACTTTAATCCTCAGGTTATTAAATTTAGGCTATGATTCAAGAATGCTTAAAAAATACAACAAATGATAGTACTCCACTCAGATTCAATAATATTCATGTAATTAAAAGAACTTTTTGCTCTGGCCAGTGCAAGACGATATAAGAATTAAATCTTAATTCTGAAATGGAATTCAGTATACTTAGTTCTTTATTGATGACTATATTATGTTGACCTTTCTCAATATTAACATTTGCAATTCTTATGATAATTTTACAAATGATTAATTTTCTTCCTTTTTTCCTTTAGTGATTCTGAAGTTATTGGGCATATTATTTAAGTTCTCCACATGTTAACACTTAATTCCAGTTGGTTATAGAGTAAAAAGTCTGAAATCCGGACGTCCATTAGCAAGAATGATCTAAAAATGCAGACCTCAAAACAGCCAAACCATTTTTCTCATAGGTTTATGCATGCGCATTTGATGTCACCCTCCATGCATAATAAAACATCTGGAAAGTCCCAAATCTTAATTTCACCTCGACACTAATTCCTTGTTATTGAAGAAACAATCATTTTAGCATAAATTTGTATGATCAGTAATTTGGCTCCGTTGTTGCTTATCTGCTTTAGCACACATCTCAAACCAAAAAATTCCACATAGATACATTGTTGATCTGACACCAACCTAGTGAATCATTATTTATTATACTTTCCTTTCATGACCGCATGTTTATCAAAACATGACAACTTGAGTAATGACTCGTGTAGTGATGCCTAAACAATTTTTTTATGTTAGTAATTGAATAATAAAGGAGTACGGTAACCTTTTATGTTGACATTATGCTTGGCGATGATTACTGATTTAAGTTAACTGCGCTAAAAATGCTGACGAGGGAAAGTTTACCAAACATTTCTTTCCATATGCTAAAAATAGATGTTGCTGATGACACTCATAGACTCAAAGATTATATTTAGAGCTATTTTAATTAAGAATAACCGATGTGTAATTCACATAAACCCAGAACTAGCACCAGGTCTCGTATGGCGATATCGAGTCGCAGAATTTAGGACCGACAGAGACTGCATCAGGCGATAAGATATCTAGCGCCGGCCCCAAGTAAGGCTAAAGTATGTGTGGGAATATATTTAATCAGAATTCTGAAAAGCCTTAAGCATGAGCAAGAGACAAACATTAGTATAACAAATAGCTAAACTAATACAATACAGCCTTATTTGTCTCAGTGTGCGATAGAAGCTAGATAAAATTTAGTGGAACAACTTGTCGTCAGTCGCCAAGTTCATGATGCATAGCTAAATAGGAATAGTGAACGACAGCTAAATTTGATGATGACAGCCAGTAATTTTAAAAGGTTTTAGGATATCGGAAAACAAAGGTGAAATTTTCCAATTAACAGATTTTGTAAAGAAATGTGGAGAAGTGGTAATAAATAAAAATGATACAAAAGAAGTTTTTCATTGGGATGACAATACTTCTCCATCATCAATCAATTAATGAATAGCAAAATCTACACTATGGTTCTAGATACAGAAAATACCGCTACCGATACTGAAGAGCATGACAGAGAAGTTACTGAAAACGTGAAAATTTCGACAGACAAGCTAGTCAGAATTCTTGAAACAGCAGCTACGGGACTTCAACAATGTAACTAACTAACAGATTATGTTTGTCTACAGAATCAAAGAGAAAGTATTAGCACAAAAAACGAAGCAACTTAAACAACTTACATTGAAAGAAATGTTTAATAGGGTAAAGAAATAAATATTAAGCTTTTTTTTGTAAATTTTGATAGCCTTTAGATCACAAATGCTTCATTATTTCATAAATCACGATTTCATCCAGAAAAATTCTAAATCCGGAATCGCCAAAGTCCCAACGAGTCTGGATTTCGGACTTTGTACTGTATCTTCATGGTTTAAACATGCATTTCCTTTGAAAGGAAATTCTTGATGAAAGCTTCATCAAAGATGAACATCTCCAATAACTTTCTCCATTATTTTTTTATTGTAGATGATAAAACTACCACTTTAAAATTGAATCAAGTTTCTAAAATTGCTTGGCTGCCAATACTGAAATATTAAAATTCAGAAGTTTTTGCATTGCACCAATATACATATAGATGAATAGCTTTTTGAATCAAAAGAATGACTCAAATTTAGACAATATGTGCCCTATAAATACCTCATTATGAAAGAAAAATTTATGTGAGTCAAGTTCTAAGTAAGTGTGGAACTTTTTAATTTACTAGGAAAAAGAGACTAAAGCTGTGGTGCTGGTTCGTATAGAGAACAAGACTAAGAACACTCATGATCGAGTTATTGGAGAAAGGATACATTTTGTTTGTTGACATATTTTTAAATTCTCAATCATTTGCAAAACACTTAGAATCTATAAAGAAGAATCTTTGTGAAAGTGTTATGAAGAACAGGAAAAATATGCCAAAGAATTTTCAAATCTGTTAGTTAGTTACATTGAATTTTCCATGAAACGACTTGAAAAGAGGGAGTAGATATCATGCAGCATAAAAATATGAATGTGACTGTGTTCAAGGAAGGGAAAAAATTGAAGCCTACTTATATTTTAGATTATAATAAATACATCAGAAACATTGACTTGATCATGATCCATTATCCACTATTCTGAACAGCTGTAAAGGGGTATAAAAGACTGTTTTAGCAACTAATGAACATTGCGCTCATAAATGCCACTGCTCTTTACAATAAAAAATATGGACTAAATACATACTTCCTGGAATTTAAAATGAAAATAGTGAACAATTTTTTTATAACTATGAAGATTACAAGGACAAAAATAAATTCACTGCCAGATCACTCTCACAAGACTTTCAGGGTGACACTTCCCTAAATAAAAGTGGGGGTAAGTGTTGCAGATGATGTATAACAGCTTACAAACAGAAAACGGCAACAGACATTCTAATTCTAGTCTTGTGACATACAAAACATAGGACTTTGCATACACCCATGCTTCAAGGAATATCACATAATGAATCCTTTTTGAATTATTGCTCTCTTTTCATAGTTTTCATGCTGGTTTTTTATGAAAGAGATTTTATATTTTTAACTACGTGTTAAACAAAATCGATGATTGTTTAGATATTTCCCATACATACTTAATTGAGGTTAGAGGCAAAAATTATATTAGTCTAGAATTAATTATTTTATAGCATTTCTAAGGAAAATCTACTGATAAAGTTTTAAAATTAATTATGTTAACTACCTGACTGTCATTCTCACAATGTGCCAAAAACTGGAATAAATGGACAATAAATTTAATTTATTAGAATTTACTGCACATACCCACAAGACAAATATCTCGTTAGCGTACCAGCCTAACAGAACAGTTCGATAGCTGAGGTACTCATCCTGAATGGGTTAAAGGGGGAAAACTTTGAAATGTTTTATTAATCTTTCGATCCACACCTTGAAGAAAACAAAAAAGGAACAATAAAAACTCAAAACTTGGAATTAAATACCTGGATCAATTTTTATTATAATGGGAGATAAAGTTTTCTTTTTTTTATTTTCAGGATAAAACTTTATAAAATGTAACCATATTGTCTGGAGGACCATGTAGAAAGCGAAATTTCATAATTTTTATAAGAATAATATTTTTAAGAAGTCAAAATATGAATACCTGCAACATTCAAAAAAATTTTGCAACTGGAATAATGGTTTTGAAAGTAAAGACCACACAAAGACGTTTGTGGACAAAGTGTATAGTGGAGTAGTAACAGATCAGCTTGAAGAAATTAACCAAAAAATTCTAAACTTGCACAATTTTAAGTTTTATTAGGAGATGAATATTACTGCATCAACTTTTTTTTAAAGAACTTATGATGAAAATTTTCTTCACAGCACTTCCTTTTCTTATAGTAGCTAATAAACAAGAGATTTTCTAACATTTGAAACAGATGGTCTAAATTTACACAGATTAAAATGGCAAATGATGGACAAATGGGAATTTATCATGACATGATATGAAAGACTGACAGTGGCCTGGTAAAACTGGGAGAATTTGCAGCTCTGGAAACACATTGTTTTAACATTCTGAAAATTCAGATTACAGTCTCTACCTCAGAATTTATTTCAAAAATTAATTCTAGCACTTCAGCAGCATATTTAATAATGCATAGCAGACAGAGATATAATGTTTGCATTAGTTACATAAAACAGTTATCCAAAAAATTCTGTAATAATATGAACATAAAACTTGATGGAAATCTTACCTCTGTACAAAGCCAACAAGCAAACTATGAAGAACATGTGAACGAAATCTCATAAGCTGTCTGTCTCGAGGTGTGCTATCAATACACTGTCCATTAGAAATAGGGCGTTCAAACATATTGCAAAACTCTGCCCGAGAACCAAGGTAATTAGGGCGAACAAAGTCAACCATACACCAGTATTCAAGCAAATTATTTTGAAGAGGATAACCAGTCAAAACAACTCTTCGCCTTGAAAAGAAAATAAATTATTACATACTTTTCAAAATTAGCTTCAGATAATTAATAAAATAGTTATTAATAAAATAATAATAATTTAATATCAACATGCTGTTGCAGAAAAACTAGGCAGCTTGTCCCTTAACACTATTTTTATTAGCAGCACATTTGCTTAAATGAATCAATACTACCTTAACCTCCTACATGTCGAAGTTCTCAATATTTAGAACACAGAACATAAAATCTTTTAATAAGCTAACTTACAAGTTATTTGAGAGCTGAAATAAAAGTTTAACTTAACTCAATGATTTAGAAATACACAGACCGCTGCATATACACCAATCAAAATATAAGCTTAATATACTTTACTAATATGAAATTTTTTGAATACTTTTTACCCTTTTTTAAGAAAAAGGATATTTATTTGATAAGCAAAATTATTAACCACACATTATTAATTGAAAAGGAAATTACAAAGTATGCTTGTAAAATTTATGTTGTTTTATTATTCATTGTTCAGCTATTTAAACAGATGGTATATCATCACAGCAGTTGGACATTAAGTCTGCAGTATTCAGAAGTTGACTTTAAATAAATTGCTATGGTTCAAATGATCTTTCTCATTTTACTATCACAATGAGATCACATTAAGCCTTTTCATAAAACTGTATCTTGTTCTAACAAAATTCTTTGAATCAAATGTTGTTGGTGCAAGATACACAACTGAAATGTAAAGAATGTTTTTTCATAAATTCAGGAGACACAGTAAACTGTATGATTCAGCATTTAAGTGATTTACCTAGTTACATTCATATTTAACATTAAAAGAAGCTTTACAAACACTATGAGAAAAAAATTTAAACGCTTAAATTAAAATTAAAAATTTCTAAAAGTTTTTCAGTTATTATAAATCTAGTCTTTCTTTTCAGCACATAATTCTACTAAGACGAGATCCATATATTTCCTCAATAACAGGTTGATTTGCAGAATTAATTTGAACACTATGCAGAGTGCTTAAAGTTTTCATCTTTTGGTTTGCTATCTTCGATCTTTCACCGTTTTTCAATGAATTTCTGGCAGGTACAATCAATGTACCAATTACTGCATGGGTATCCTTTAGCTGTTTTCAGTTGAACTAGATGACCGATATTATTTTGTCCACAGTTTATTTCCACCACTTTTCCAATTGGCCACTTTAATCTTTCTTTCCTTTTTTTTTTTTTTTTTTTTTGACTGCTGATGACAAACAATTTCTCAAACTTTAGTGTTGGTGGCCCATTTGTTAAGTGGCTGCAGCAAGCTGAGACATTCTCTTTTAAAACACAATCAGAGTATCTCTCTAAGGGATTGTATCCAAATCAGTAGTGTCATTTGAAGGAATGTTCTGTAAAAATATGAAAGATTTCAGAACTCATCAACTTCTTTAAAAAATAAGTTACAGGTTGATTATTCATTATTGATGCATATTCACAAAGTAAAGTAAGCAATTCTTCATAACTTAAAGATGAGCGATCTACATTTTTCTTTAAGGTCTTTCAGAATTCTTATTAAATGCTCCCAGCACTAGCATACCTTTTCCCTTTTGTAGAACTAGAGATAAAAGCTCATGCGTGTGCATAATGCTCTATTAAAAATTTATCTTTCCTGAATTTAAGAAGATCTATTTACTTTTAAATAATTTTCTTTTGAGGAGGGAAAGATTTCGATTATCTTTTGTGCTGGAGAACCAGCCTACACACTTGCAGGAAATATTAATATTTATTTTCTAGCAGTGTAGAATTATCTTTGTGGATTTTAGAAAACTGTCCCCCCAAACCAATCCAGTTTTTAAAATTCCTGTCAAACTGCATTAATTCTATTTTGGGTAATTTTAAATCTACTTCCCAGTAGAATACTTCATTGTATATGATAGAATTTACAGCTCTATAATTTTTCCACTCCAAATTAGATATTAATTTTTTATTAGTTACAAATCTAAGCTCATACTCACTGCATTTCGACAGCTCTGCTTCAATATTTTTTTTTCTAATATTGCTTGTCATATACACAATTTCTAGAAAGAATGAGGAGTTTTTTTTTTTTTTGTATTTTTATTTTTAAGGCTTCCTATCTTTCTTTAATCTCTTTCTTATGACCTTTAAGTCTTCTAACTTCCTTGCATCTGCCGTAAATAACTGTCTTTGAACTTTTCATTCTGTAATTATATTTCCTATTATGATTTTGGTTCTTAAATATGCAGCAGTTCAATCATTTTCTAATGCTGATTCCCCACCCCCAAAAGTACACTGCATCAGATCCTGATTTTAAGCAAATAGCGTAGGTTCAAATTATATTTCTCATTTTATTATTAGAGATTACAGTAAGCCTTTTCAGAAAAATTTATCTTGTTTTAATAAAATTCTTCAAAATGGAAGATGTTGCTGTGAGATACAACACTGAAACTTAATGTTTATTGCATAACCCCAGAAGACGGTATTATCTGTCTATGGCAAGAACAGCTCCCGTCACGGTATCTGGCGAATGGCGTCGCTATAGCAAAAGGACTAGTATATTTCAAATAGGGACGAAAAAAGGGTTGCTTTATTGTTTTGTTTTTGGCAACTGTTGGCTGAAGGGAAAAGAGATCATTCCTCTTCTCGGTTTCATTCCAGCTGCACACATCTTTCCTTCCTTCTGGCACGCTACCTTTTAAAATCAAAGTTTAGATTTAAAAAAAAAAAAAAAAAAAAAAAAAAAAAAAAGGTAGGCAGTCTAATTAGGCCAAGAGGAGTACACAAGTAAAATTTTGTGAAGATAGCACTTATCGTTTTATTTCTGCAGGTGTGCCCAAAGTGGCACACTGATTGAATAGAGCTTCGAAAAGCATTGTTGTCAATGAATTGACTGATGACATGTGGAGAAACAAAGAATACAGACTTTCAGTTGTCCTAGATTATCGGTGAGCCCGGTCGGGGCCTAAGGTTTGCCGTTTGATTTTAGGAGGGATTTCAAGATAAACATTTAAAACTAATATAGAATAAGATTAGCATACAGTTAAAAAAATAACATAGAAATTTCTTTTCAAACAATTCCTTTTATACGCTAAAAAATATCTGGAAGATTTCTTTGAAAAATGAGGGTCTTAAAAAACTAAACATGGCTAAAATATATGGACTGGTTTGTGTTAAGCTGCCATCTACTGTAAATAAAGAAAGTTCAGAGTAACTCATAGTAACCTATAAATTCTTTTTCATTAAATTTTTCTGTGCATACAGAAGGAAATTTTTAGGTGTGTCCAGACCAGACACACTGTGCTGTAAAGGGTTAAGCCTTATATTATTACTATTAGCTATTTTTATTCTCGTTGTTATATCTTTTGTACTGGTATTTTTTCAAATTTGCTTCTATTTAGCTTGATTTTCGTAGTGCTTTCCCAATTGCCAATTTTTTAAAATGCCCTTCCAGTTTAAGAAAGGTCAACCTTTAAAGTCTCAGGCACATCAAATCGTGTACAAGGTCGCAGAATTTTTCGCTTCTAAGCTTCGGCGAACTCTTTAGTAGTTTCTCTTCCTCAAGTTTTGAAGACAACTTTGCAAGCTACTGGAGTATCGAAGTATACAATTAAAAAAAGTTAAGTGCAAAGTATAAAAAATGGGTGAAAATAAACTTCTAAGTAACGCCTGGAAAGAAAAACGTAAAAGCTCTGCTAATCATAAGTGCGAAACTGACGATTTTGACAAATGCATTATATGGCAGACAACACAAGACTTTTACATCAAAGAAAAAAAAGTGCCATCTGTGTCAAAATTACTACCCGTCTTGAGGCAAAATATAGACTTCCCGTGGCAAAAAGACTCTGTTCAAACCTTTGCGTTCAATGAATTTTCGCTGGGAGAAATGCATTAACCAAAAAAAAAAAAAAAAAAAAATTCTTATTGAAAGACCTCACATTGTATTTTGGAGGAGCAATTATTTACGCGAAATGAGGAAACTCGGGTCAAGTGGAACCACATCGTTTACATCAATGAAACATGGATTGATAGCAATTGAACTTTTAAGATATGTTGGCAGCATGATAGGGTTTTGGGAGCACAGATAAATGTTAGTTCAAAAAATAGACTGATTGTTGTCCATCCTCTTCTACAGGATTTTATTCCAGGTGCTCAACTTGTATATAAAGCATCAGCTCAAAGCGGGGATTACCATGGGCCAATGAACCATGGAAATTTTGAAAAATGGGTGTTGGAAAAGCATCTTCCGAAATTATGATCCCCGTATCACACAAAAATTGAAGATCCGACACTCACGAAATATGCTACAAAGCAAACAATGGTTAATTGCCTGGTGAAGAAGACGATATGTTGTGCTCCCAAAATGGGAAGCGGAATTGTTTAACTTAATAGAATGCAATCGTCCTAAAAAAGTAATCTATAAAACTGACAACATCATAAAAGAAAATGGGCATCATGTTGCGCATCTCCCTCCTTACCACTGTGATCTAAATGCAATTGAATATGTTTGGTCATCAGTTAAAAGACTGATCAGGGAAAGGAATGTAAATTTGAAAAATTTAACACAAAAAGCTTTGGATGAAGTCACTTCTGAAGAATGGCAGGAGCACTGCAACCACATGGAAAAACTTGGGAATTCTTATTGGGACAAGGACGAACTTCTAAAAGAGATAGTGGATGAATTAATAAGAATTCTAAAGAGATAGTAGATGAATAATTCCGATTCAGAAGAAACGGAATCTTGCGACAGTGATTCAGACGACTTTTCAGACGTTATACCTCTATAAAAGTCCTATATGAAAGTATCCTTCTTCTTACTCATCTGATAGCTCTCTCAAGTTATATTTCTAGGATATTTCTAGGTTCAGTATTTTCTTTGCCAGTATGTAAATGAAAGACTACCAAAAGTGGGCAACAATGAGCCTTCGGCAGAGGAGAACCGACTCCTTGTGGATAATAAAGAACACTGCATGGCTGCTTCATTTCCCACTACTGTGTTCTTGGGGGGCCACAAGTCATGAT